TTCCAACATCTAGTGGAAAGCCTTCCCAGAAGAGTGGAGGCTGTTATAGCAGTAAAGGGGGGACCAACTCCATATTAATGCCCATGATTTTGGAATGAGATGTTCGACGAGCAGGTGTCCACATACTTCTGGTCATGTAGTGTATAAGCAGACAGACAAATCACTTCTAACTGTCCAATTTAAATTTTCCCTCAGGGACAATAAAGGATATTATACATGGCTTGACATTAACTTTATTATTAGTTTTACATCATGGTATGATGCAAGGACCCACTTTACAAAATAAATGCATTACTATCTTTTGTACCATAGAGAATCAGACAAAATGGAGGCTACACTCGGTCTATTGGCTTCTCTGCATATTCAAGTCTGTCTCAAAATACAACACTGTCCCTTTAAGGCTCTCCTGGAGAATGGTTGGCCACCCTTGGTAGCCTATAAAATATTGCAACATTACAATTACAACCAAATACTTTATAAAATAATTCCATCCTGGGCTCGAAATGAATGGCGTCTCGTTGTCTCTGGGACGATAAAAAAAAAATATGTATGCGGTTCAAAACAGACTCTGGGACAGTTCTGGGACAACAGATCCAAAATTCATTCAACCACTGCAAATTAGTTCATGGCTGTAGGATACGCAAGAGAATGTTCCAAAATGCAATTAGCGGCAAAAACACCATTCTCAAAAGCACAATGCACGCACAAGAGGTTTCATGTGACAAAAAAATATCCCTTCGAAATTAAGAAAGAGGGGCTATCTAAAGATGCCTTTGGCTACTGGAAAATAAAATAACGTTGATTTGGAAACCAATAGAACATGAGAGAAATGTTGGTTTCAATGACATTACATTTTCATAAAATACTTCCCTCAACATTTCTATGGTTGTATTTTGGCTAGGCTACTTTGAACCAAGGTAAGACATGTTTCATAAAATGTCCAGGTTTTAAACAATTCAGTTTATGGTTAAATAAATAGTTTCTAAATGCTGACCGCCTCCTCTCGGCCTCATGGTTGCTGATGTGCAACAGGCACTGTCCCTTCACTCTCCGGTCTTGTGACCATTTAATCTGAACGAACCGTGCCTCGAGTAGGCTATGTCGACAGAATCAAGACTTTAGATGTTAATGTTAATTATCCGTCATTATATTTGACAAACATGACCGGTGTTTAGCCTATATTTATGTAATTAAGTCATTAAAGTTTGACTACATTTTCTGGCGCCTCCCTCATTACAGCATCAGTTTGGGCATGAGGCTGTAGCCAATATGCATATTACCTCCAATTTACATTTTACATTTACATTTACGTCATTTAGCAGACGCTCTTATCCAGAGCGACTTACAAGTTTTTTTTTTTTTGGGGGGGGTAGAAGGATTACTTTATCCTATCCCAGGTTTGACATGTAGGCTTTTTTATTTATGCAGGCCTACATGAAAAATTGATTTGAATATTATTACAATGTTGGGCTCTCTGATCCAATTCTGATCAGAATAATTGTTTGATATTGTGATGTGTGATTTTTTTTACTTGTCCATTCGGACAACTTAAATCTATATTCCTCTTGTCCGACATTTTTTATTTTTTTTACTTGTCCTTGACAAGAGGACAAGCGTTAATGTCGAGCCCTGTCCATAATGTGTATATGTACAGTGCCTTCAGAAAGTATTCACACCCCTTGACTTTTCCACATTTTGTTGGGTTACAGCCTGAATTTAAAATTGATTAAATTGAGATTTTGTGTCACTGATCTACACACAATACCCCATAATGTAAATTATGTTTTTAGAAATGTTTATAAATTAATAAATGAAAAGCTGAAATTTCTTCAGTCAATGAGTATTCAACCCTTTTGTTATGGCAAACCTAAATAAGTTCAGGAGTAAAGATTTGCTTAACAACTCACATAATAAGTTGAATGGACTCACTCTGTGTGCAATAATAGGGTTTAACATGATTTCTGAATGACTATCCCATCTCTGTACACCACACATACAATTATCTGTAAGGTCCCTCAGTCGAGCAGTGAATTTCAAGCGCAGATCCAACCACAAAGACCAGGGAGGTTTTCCAACGCCTCGCAAAGGAATAATAACTTAATTGACAGAGTGAAAAGGAAGCCTGTACAGAATACAAATATTCCAAAACATGCATCCTGTTTGCAACAAGGCGCTAAAGTAATACTGCAAAAAAAAATGTGGCAAAGACATTAACCTTTTGAATAAAAAAGTGTTACGTTTGGGGCAAATCCAACACATCACTGAGTATATCTCTTCATATTTTCAAGCATGGTGGTGGCTGCATCATGTTATGGGTATGGGAGTTATTTTAGGATAAAAATAAATGGAATAGAGCCATGCACAGGCAAAATACTAGAGGAAAACCTGGTTCAGTCTGCTTTCCAACAGACACTGGGAGACAAATTCACCTTTCAGCAGGATAATTACTTAACACACAAGGCCAACTATACACTGAGTGTACAGAACATTAGGAACACCTTCCTAATATTGATTTGCACCACCTTTTGCCCTCAGAACAGCCTCAGTTCGTCAGGGCATGGATTCTACAAGGTGTCTAAAAAGTTCCACAGTGATGCTGGCCCACGTTGACGCCAATGCTTCCTAAAGTTATGTTAAGTTGGCTGGATGTCCCTTGGGTGGCAGTGGTGGTGGTCATGGCAATGCCAAAAGCTGAGGATGCTGTTGTTTTGGCAGCAAGTGAACCAAATGAAAATCCAGAAGTGCCTTGACCAACAAAACATGTAGTCAGTGGAATGAATGAATGCCATTTATAATATATATATAATATGCCATTTAGCAGACGCTTTTATCCAAAGCGACTTACAGTCATGCGTGCATACATTTTTGTGTATGGGTGGTCCCGGGGATCGAACCCACTACCTTGGCGTTACAAGCGCCGTGCTCTACCAGCTGAGCTACAGAGGACCACATTTGTATTTTCATTTAACTTGCTAGCTACTTTCAGACATAAATGAGAGAACACCTCACTCTGACCAATTTATTCGCCCTAGCAGAGTTGGTTAGGCTGTTTTCATGTTTTCTAGAGCGTTGGTGACTGTAACTGTGCTGCTGGCAATGATTTAATAACGTTTTTTTTGCTGACATTTACTGACACCGGTCATATTCAATGGGGTGTTGCGGATTCGTAAATTCATCAGTTATTCTGCGCTCTGGCACACTTAGACAAGAGTGTTCTGAAATCGGAGTAGATAACCAGAGCGAATTTACGAATGAACCCTTTGTGACTGTTAACTAGTGACGACCATGATTACTCCTGTTAGCTACCAGAGAGGAAGAGAAAGAGAGAGGCCCAACTCGGCGAGAAATCTCTCCCTCCAGCAGGTGGCATTTTTTCATCGTTTCGAGAATTTGTGTATGGAGGTCAACGAGTGTCGAATTTGGTCAACTGCAACAAATGAATGGCTTATTTGCTATGTGAGGTTTATTTGATTGAATAGACGTTTTGTAATGCTTAAGTTGTTACGAGTGTACTGATTTAAAAGTAGGGCACGTGACATCCCGGCAACTTTGAGAGAAAAAAACAATTTATATTCGGAGTTTTGTCTCTAGATGGCTATGCATATTCATGACAGGAGGCTAGTAGCGTAGCATTTCTCTCCATTGAGGCGGTTGACGTCAACAACCCTCATCGAATATTCAAATATGGATTACAATAATGTGATGTATCCACCAATCCAAAGAAAGGATAGGCGGGAGCTAGACAGCCCGCCCTGACGCTTTGTGGACAAGGACGCCCATTGTTAGGGCGGAGAGACATGTATCTTGTCAGTAGCGATATCCATAATCTTTGGCTCTACGGACACGCCTGGAGCCCAAATGGAGTTTGTCGCGCAGCGTGAGTCGAGAGGAGACGAACGGATTCGGTTCAGTCAGTCGTCCTGATGAGCCCTTCCCAGGCCCAGCTCGCTAGTTTATGGTTGTGTGGCTAGAAACTTCAGCGAGAATTTGGAACTTGTCTGCCAAAGTTGGACTTGGGAGTGTTCAGAATCATTCTGTTTTTATCGGAGTAATTATGAAAAAATATATTAACGTTAGACGTAGTTGTACATTTTTGGTGAAAATCACCACAATAAATGTGTTTTAGCTGTCACCCTGGCCTGATATTGCCTACACCTGGTATATTGGCCATATACCACAATCCCCAGAGGCCCATATTGCTATTATAAACTGGCTGCCAACGTAATTAGAGCAGTAAAAATAAATGTTTTGTCATACCCCCTGATATCAGCATTCAGGCCTCGAACCACCCAGTTTATAATAATATATGAACCTGGTGAAGTTCAAAGTACTGTTACACTCGCAGATTCAGAAACATGTAGTTAGATTTTTGTCTTTAAAAAATATAAATAACTGCAATTCAATGCTATAGTGTAAATACTTTGAAGTCGAACATTTACCTCGGGAGCGTCATCATAAAACATACACTGCCCATTGGTCAAATGGTCAAAGGTCATTTGAAAAGCCACACCTACTACTCCTCACCTGATGCCATATAAACTGGGCCCATGAGGCAGATTGCCATTGTGAGCAAGTGTGTTTGGAGTTCAACCTGTTGCCTAGTTTATTTAGGTAAATCTAATTGATATGTAAACGCTTGTGGTGAGCTATCTGTGAAACTGTTTCAGGGTTCATTAATTCCTCAAAAAGGCCACCAATCCGCAGAAAAAAATGGTAAGTAGTTTTTTTTTAATTCAACATGACTGATTCATTAAAATACATTTTTCTCTGGAGTCGTGCTTCCCTGCCCGATTTCCCTGTATTCTGTTAATATAGAAAACTGACACGGAGTTGAGAGATTTGTTGGTCAAAGTTTCATCTTCTCCCAGCTTTCTGTGCTGACAGGATTTATGTTCTCCACAGTGACTGGGCTCTCCAACAACTTTTAATAGCAGTTTACACACACACCTTTTTTTTTTTTTATAAATGATTGTTGGACTAAGGATTGTTTCTCTCGACAGAGGGAGTGCATTTCCGTCCACATTGGCCAAGCAGGAGTCCAGATGGGCAATGCATGCTGGGAGTTGTATTGTCTGGAGCATGATTTCCAGCCAGATGGGACCATCCGTGAGAACGCTGCTCCTCAATTGACTGACTCATCGTTTGGCACCTTCTTCAGTGAGACTGGGGCCGGGAAATATGTTCCCAGGGCCATCTTCTTAGATCTGGAGCCTACTGTTGTGGGTGAGGAATAGCAAGCTGCTTGTATAGAGGTGATGGTCTGCCCTAGCCTGGTCCCAGATGTTAGTACGGTCTTGCCAATTCCTATCAAAACGCTGACAAAGGCTGTTGCCAAAAGCAACTGTTTGCTCTGCCCTCTGCTGCTACAAAATACATTCACTTAAATGTTACAGTGAGTGCAGGTTTTTCCCTTTTCTCCAGTGTATACCTTTTGAACCTAAAGACAATTTGCTGCTACAAACTTGAGTTGAACATGCCAATTCCTTCTATGTTGTCAATGAATGACCATAGGAGTTGGCAAGACCGCACAAACCAATCTGAGACCAGGCTATGACATGGCAAACAATTAATGCTACTCATTATGCAATGAGTGTCTAGTATGTGACGTTTTCATTTCCTCTTGTGTAGTACTGAAAATGTAACGTTGCGTTGTCGCTAACTTTCCGTATCAAAATGATAAGCAAGCATTTCACGGTAGTCTAAACCAGTTGTATTTGGCGCATGTGACAAATTGATTTGTTGTAGATGAGATCAGGAATGGCCACTACCGTCAGCTTTATCACCCTGAACAACTCATCAGTGGCAAGGAGGATGCTGCCAATAACTACGCCCGTGGCCATTACACCATCGGCAAGGAGATTGTGGACTCCGTCATGGACAGGATGCGTAAAATGGTGAGTGGCTCTGCTGAATGTTTAAAAAGCCCACTCTGATTTAGTGGTTTTGATACCCATTAATTCTTGACTATCACTTGTACATGCCTTATGAGCATAGTTTGTCTGACTAACATTAGGGTGAATATATTAATGCTTGGTATGAATAACTTGTTTTATCCTCAGGCTGATCAATGCACTGGACTACAGGGGTTCCTCATCTTCCATAGCTTTGGAGGAGGGACCGGCTCTGGCTTTACTTCCCTGTTGATGGAACGCCTGTCGGTGGATTACGGCAAGAAGTCCAAACTAGAGTTCTCAGTCTACCCTGCTCCCCAGGTGTCCACAGCAGTGGTGGAGCCCTACAACTCCATCCTGACCACCCACACCACCCTGGAGCACTCGGACTGCTCTTTCATGGTGGACAACGAGGCCATCTTTGACATCTGCAAGCGTAACCTGGGAGTGGAGCGGCCGTCTTACACCAACCTGAACCGCCTCATTGCCCAGATCGTCTCCTCCATCACAGCCTCCCTGCGCTTTGATGGCGCGCTCAATGTAGACCTGACAGAGTTCCAGACCAACCTTGTGCCTTACCCCCGTATCCACTTCCCCCTGGTCACCTATGCCCCCATCATCTCAGCAGAAAAGGCCTACCATGAGCAGCTCTCTGTCCCTGAGATCACCAACGCCTGCTTTGAGCCGGCTAACCAGATGGTGAAGTGTGATCCCAGACGTGGCAAGTACATGGCCTGCTGCTTGCTGTACCGCGGTGACGTGGTTCCCAAAGACGTCAACGCAGCCATCGCCAGCATCAAGACCCGGCGCAGCATCCAGTTTGTGGACTGGTGTCCCACTGGGTTCAAGGTGGGGATCAACTACCAGCCCCCTACGGTGGTTCCTGGAGGAGACCAGGCCAAGGTCCAGAGGGCTGTGTGCATGCTGAGCAATACCACAGCCATCGCTGAGGCTTGGAGTCGTCTGGACCACAAGTTTGACCTGCTGTACGCCAAGCGGGCCTTTGTGCACTGGTACGTGGGTGAGGGCATGGAGGAGGGAGAGTTCTCTGAGGCCAGAGAAGACATGGCTGCTCTGGAGAAGGATTACGAGGAGGTGGGGGCGGACTCTGGGGACGCCTATGAGAATGAGGAAGATGAATACTAAATCCTGTTCTCTCTAAAAAAGCCACCTTGTCTAAAGCAACCTTGTCTAAAGCAACCTTGTCTAAAGCAACTTGCAATTAAAACCAAATGCATTTGAATTCTTGCTTTGTTTGATTTTATATTAATCCTAGTTTATTGTTGAAGAGTGTCTGTAGCTTTTAGGGGGATGACGTTCTCTAGAACAAGTTGCTTATTAATTGTGATTAACATTAAAGCCACTGACTTTTGGTACATCTACAAGCAACTAAAGACTGCACTGATACTTCTCTTGAAAGACTAAACATGCTCCTCAGCGTAAACCCTCAAATGGGGAAGATTGCCAGCCACAGTAATCTGCATTTGGTTGACTTTAGATCCATAACTGACTACGGTATCTTGCATTGTCAAGTCTCACATTTTGGGCCAAATCCTGATCTCCCTGGTGACCAATAATCCTGGGCCAGGTTCTGGTCACCACGTTGATTCCTTAACGTTTGGCTGAAACCAGACTAATCTTTAATAATGCTACAACCAAGATGTTTGACATGTTTTGAGAACATTTTAGATCTATCACATGGACCTCATCAGTGACGCAGCGTTTCCACATATTTCAGAAATCAATGTATTTAGCTAAATCTTAAATATCCCTACCCCAAGGGGAAGGTTGCAGTATTGTGCATATCAGTATAATCAATAAGGCCCAGATTCCGACCACAGTTAAGCGGGAGTAAATGGATTGTAATTACCTTTTTTATGCACTTCTCTCTATGCGTAGTTTGGCACGCGGCGTCTACAGATAAGACGTATTCTGACTTGACTTCATTCCACCAACTTGATCATTACACAGGTGCACCTTGTGCTGGGGACAAAAGGCCACAAAAAATGTGCAGTTTTGCCAACACAATGCCACGTCTGAAGTTTTGAGGGAGCGTGCAATTGGCATGCTGACTGCAGGAATGTCCACCAGAGCTGCTGCCAGAGAATTGGATGTTCATTCTCTACCATAAGCTGCCTCCGTTTAAGACCGTACGTGCAGACCACGTGTAACCACGCCAGCCCAGGACCTCCACATCGTCAGACCTGCCACCAGGACAGCTGATGAAACTGCAGTATGTGGGGGAAAAACATTCTGATTGGGTGGGCCTATGGCCTGCCCAGTCATGTGAAATCCATAGATTAGGGCCAAATTGATTTCCTTATGAACTGTAACTCAGGGAAATTGTTGCATATTGAGTTTATATTTTTGTTCAGTGTATTTAGTTGGCTTTCTTTCGTTGATTGAATGATCCCCTTCTCTTGATGTATTCTAGTCTGTCGACAAAATTTGAATTAAAGAAGGTACACTGTATTTAAAGTGATGGCTTAAGATAAATGGACTGGAAAACCTACCAGAAAATCTGTTGGCCAGCAAGTGGGAGGGTTTTCAGCAGTTGACATTTATTCAGCGTGCACAAGAGAACCACACCTACGCTAGCCAAGTCTGAATACTAACTACTGAGAAGAGCATAGGAAAGGCTAATTTCCTAAGTCCAAATCGGGGCCCTAAGTGTTTCCAATGGGATCCTCTTTTCAGTTGCATTATTAGTGGCATTAACATCTGCATTTAAATAAAGTACCAAAATGTAAACGTTTGACTTTTATTTACAAATTGCAATTTTTCCTGTATGTAACATTAAAACATATCCACAGTTTTCAAGAGATGAATATGTACACTTTAATTTCCTTTTGATTAACACTGGCATCAGTCAGCAATTACCATAATAATACGATTTACAATGCAAATACTGTCATCGTATTCTGTCAAGGCAACTTCCAGCATCAAAATCTTTAAAAATACATGATTTTGTTCCACATTTAAAATATGAATTCATTTATCAACTGTCATAGATATTTCATAATAGCCAATAATCTATAAAAAGCATTGTTTTCACGTAGAAAAGACGGAAAAATCAACCGTATGTTCTTGTGTATACATCAAGAGAAGGGGTAGAGCAGTTAAAGAGGTAGAGGTCAAGCAAACAGAAATATACAGACTCCTGTAAGAATTTACTTTCATGAAACAAGGGACTGCTTTCCCAGACACAGATTAAGCCTAGTTCTGAGACTAAGAACCATGCTAAATGGAGATTCTCTATTGAAAGTACCAGTAAATCCAAGACTAGGCTTGATCTTTGTTCCGGGACACAAGCCCAGAATGTTTTAAGGCATTTATTGAACGTTGGTTGAGCAGTGGTTTTTGTAAACCCACCGCTTGGTTCTGTTCTGTCTTCAAGGTGCTGTGTCAACTCTCCAGTGTGCGTAGTTCTGCTCTCACAAAATCTCAGGAGAGGACGTTGTTGTGTACAGCACTGGGACTTTAAAAAGGGTTTCTATCCTGAGATTTTCTCCTCTGCTTGAAGACATCGGAGCACGTATAAGATCACTTGATAGCAGAAGATGTATTGTTCCTGTGTGGAGCAAACACAAATGAGAGAATATGTATATTATTATTCATGCAGAAATAGCATAGTATGTAGACTACAGGCTCTTTAAAGAGATCAAACATATTGTAGTTGTATAAAAATGTACAACTGAAATTACTTAAAATTGTAAAGTTACCTCTGTTTGTACCATTCCTTGTCTCTGCAGTCTCATGTTACGTACCACATCTGAAATATCAAACTGAAAACAAAAGTGTTTTAAAAAACATTCTCTCAGAAACAGAACTAAAATGTGGTTGGACATTTCTAGCATAATAAAAGCTATATAAAAGCTATAGGCTTGTCACCATACTTACATCAACATCTTTACTGATGAGGCCTAGAACCACGTCTATGCAGATGAGGGTTCCGGATCGGCCAATCCCTGCACTGCAGTGCGTGATGATGGGTCCTGATTGGTGGATGTGCCTCATGTAGGATATGAACGTCAACAGCTGCTCAGGCTGCGAGGGGGTACCGTGGTCTGGCCAGCCGGTATAGTTCAGGTGGGTGACGCGTTGAATCTCTTCGGTCTAGAACAGGAGGGGAAGAAGAGGAATAGGGTATTATTATCACTCTGATGCTCTGAATGCATTGCACAGTACCCAAATCATTCAATGATTATACATTTTACATTTTAGTCATTTAGCAGACGCTCTTATCCAGAGCGACTTACAGTTCGTGAATACCGGCCATTCCCTCCCCTACCCTGGACGACGCTGGGCCAATTGTGCGGCGCCCCATGAGTCTCCCGGTCGCGGCCGGCTGCGACAGAGCCTGGATTCGAACTAGGATCTCTAGTGGCACAGTTAGCACTGTGATGCAGTGCCTTAGACCACTGCGCCACTCAGGAGTATTATGCACTGGCTTTTGTTTGTTTGTTTAACCTTATTACTAAATACAAAATACACGTCCGGTCCTTTACATTTACTTGGTAATAAAGTAAAATTATATCAAAAAGAAATCACTTCAAGGTTAAGTATGGAGTCCTGCAAGGCTCTGTTCTGGGGCCATTACTCCTGTCCTTATACCTTACGTTAAGTCTCACCTGGATATCTTTGACCTCGATGAGACGGATAACAAAGTGGTCCAGGTGCTGATCTTTGACCAGGGTGATCTGCAGCCTCTCGTCCACCATCTCAGCCGTCTGCAGGGTGTCGGGCCAGTACCGTTGACATTTCACCTTTCCCCCTTCCACTTCCTGGGTCATCATAGCGATGACATTGGATTTCTGCTCCCAGATCATCTGCCAGAAGTCACCCAGAGTGGTGGGTAAGGGTCCTTGACAAGCAATGTACATGAAGTTCTCGTCCTTCACTGGCATGTTGATAAAGTTGGCGTTTATGTAGCCGCCATCTTTACCCAGGATCACTCTGGTGGTATCAACTGGAGAAACAAGAGAAAACACAGGAGAAGGTTTGACTGGGCTTGTTTTCTACTGCACTGGGCTATTATTGAAGTAGATGCGGAGGAATATTGACACACGAGATGCACTATTTCCCAGTTAAAACACTTACTCAGGTGATGACGCTATTTTCGTTGTGACATTCGATCTAAAGTGTGCACTTACAAGGGACAATGTTCTTATAACGATTCTTTTTCTTGTTTTCCTTCGTCTGACCAATTAGACAGTCATCCAGCGGCTGTAGATTCTGTAGATTCTGGTGAGAGAAGAAGTATAAATTGGCCTTAAATCTCAGTCCCATGGACACAAATAAGTAATTTTTGAAGAAAATAAAAAATGTCCTGTACTATATTGATGTCATGTATTATGCATCTAAGTGAGTGTTTTCTTATGCTATTTTCTATGCAATTTTTTTATATGTACACTTTGCAAGAATTAATAAAAGTCAAAACGGCAGCAGCCACAATAATAAAGATCAGCGCTACACAAAAAGCGTATTCTCTTTAGAGCTACATACTATGGAAGAAGAAGAAGAAGAGGGGATATAGCTGAGGCCGTTTAATGCAGGGTATCAAACTCATTCCACGGAGGGCCTAGTGTCTGCAGGTTTTTTCCTTTCAATTAAGCCCTAGACAACCAGGTGAGGGGAGTTCCCTACTAATTAGTGACCTTAATTCATCAAGTCCAAGGGAGGGGTGAAAACCCGCAGACACTCGGCCCTCCGTGGAATGGGTTTGACACGTGATGTGAGGTTTCTATACTTGTCTAGATCAGACAGACAGTTCGTACCTCAAACTCCTGCAAAGGGATCTTCTGTTCAAGCAGGCCCCTCAGCATACGCACCACAGTGTTGAGCTTGGCCCTAGTGTACTGTCCATCAGGGACCACTTTCACCAGGGGCAGAGAGGTCAGCTCATCCTCTGTAATGATGGGTTTATCTGGGGAGGGGATGATCATGTTGAGAGACTTACCTAACCAGAGACTTACCTAACCACTCACTCAAGAAAATCAATTTAATTGTATATTTGGAAGAGGATATTCAAAATCGGCAGATCCAAAAGGTTAATTAACGTTAGGCATCGAAATTGGTGAGGTTGAGTTGTTGGGTGCGGTGTTCACGCTCAGTGAATTTCCAGTTAATATTCTCTATAGACAGCTTACCGTCAGTGAATTTCCAGTTAATATTCTCTATAGACAGCTTACCGTCAGTGAATTTCCAGTTAATATTCTCTATAGACAGCTTACCGTCAGTGAATTTCCAGTTAATATTCTCTATAGGCAGCTTACCGTCAGTGAATTTCCAGTTAATATTCTCTATAGGCAGCTTACCGTCAGTGAATTTCCAGGTAATATTCTCTATAGGCAGCTCGTCACTCCCCCAGGTAATATTCTCTATAGACAGCTTACCGTCAGTGAATGTCCAGGTAATATTCTCTATAGGCAGCTCGTCACTCCCCCAGGTAATATTCTCTATAGACAGCTTACCGTCAGTGAATTTCCAGGTAATATTCTCTATAGGCAGCTCGTCACTCCCCCAGGTAATCTCATCCTCTTCCGGAACCTCTGATGTCATCTGCATGTAGCTGGGAAGGAACATACGATTTGACATTTAAAAAATATACAAAAATGTCCCCTGGGGACTTTCAGTCACAGTATTCTGGAACAGAACAAAATACTGGAGCCCCCACTTACCTCTCATTCAGTGGGTCGTCTACACTTTCCTCTTTCCAGTCGGCTTTCCGGGAGGTCTGGAATTCCACACAACACAGAAACAGATGTGAATGGAATTAAACTACAATGTAGAAGAAAAAAAAAAAAAAAGTGTTTTGACCCTCTAGGACTGTAGTTGAATAGCCCCCGCCTCAGAGGCAGGTCCTCCCCAGAGTATGTACCCACCTCAGGAGAGTCCTCTGGTAGAGAGGAGCCGTCACGGTCTGTGTCTTCACACAGATCAGTGTTCTCCACCTCACCGTCTCTCCTCCTCCGCTCCGTTGAACCTACATCATAGTCTGGGGAGGCCGTCACAGGAGGGAAGAAGACAGTCAAACTGGCTTGTGCTCTAACACAGTGTGGAGGAGCAGGCGTCAGAAAAATTGTAACTTTTGAACACACAGATCTGTACGGATAAAAGAGTAGTAATCCTACCTATTGGCGGTATGTCAGGAGGGCTACTGTTCTCATTAGGCAGACCACACAGTTTAGTCTTCATTCCACTGTCGTCGGCGTCGTCAGCGTTGCCGTTGCATTCGTCAGAGTTGATGGGGAGGTAGGACAGGTAGGTGTTGGGGTTTTGGTCCGGCGGTCTGGACACTATGAGGTGCACCAGTCCTTTGGCCTTTCGGATAGTGGTGACAGCTTTAGTGTGAGACACGCCAGTCATCAGCTCCTCGTTCACCTGTGGATAGAGACATCGTCAGCTGGAAACCTCAGAGCTGGGTCATGTTTGGTAGGGTGAAACGTTTTGAAATGGAGTGAAACAGGGAGGTAATGCCTGAATTTGTCCAATGAGAACAAATATTTTCGTTTTGCTGTTGTAAAACATTTATTACAGCGTGCCCTAGTGCACAACCCTGCATTCAGATGAGTTACGGTCAAATATCACCACCTAGTGGACAACAGCTGTTGTTACATCGAAAAGACCTCAGTAGATCAGACTCACTTTGAGCAGTCTATCCCCCACTTGCAGCCGTCCTGTACGATCTGCTATGCCACCAGGGGTGATGGACTTGACAAAGATGCCCCTCTCTCCTCCGATAACAGAGAAGCCTAGGCCTCCTGCTGCAGGCTTGTCCAGGTCCAACTGAATGATCTCCTCCTGGAAGCACAACAAAACACAATTAGAATATTACTTTCACTGGCCAATGTCCAGGGGCAATGGAAAATCTCAGAAAGACACACACAGAGGTTGGAGTCATCAACTCGCACAGATCAGAACGCTTTAGTCTCCATCTTTTATTGACTACTAAAGGACATATCCTTATAGCCATCAACTGGGCCACCGTGGAAACGGTCAAAAAAAATGTAAAGTTCCTCAGCATACACATCTCCGAGGAGCTGAAATGGTCAAACCACACAGACACCCTTGGTGAAGGCATGACAGTGACTCTTCAACCTCAGGGGGCTGAAGAAATCCGGCCTGTCCCCGAGGGCCCTCAGTGTTCTACAGGAGCCCCATCGAGAGCATACTGTCGGACTGCATCACAGCCTGGTACGGCAACTGCACCGCCGTGTTCTACAGGAGCCCCATCGAGAGCATACTGTCGGGCTGCATCACAGCCGCAGACCGCAAGCCTCTTCAGAGGGTGATACGTGCAGCCGAACGCACCATTGGGTGCACACTGCCTGCCCTACAGGACACCTACAACACCAGGTGTCGCAGGAAGTCCAAGAAGATAATCAGGGACCCCAGCCATGGACAGTTCTCCCCGCTTCCATCACTCTGCACGGAGCTAAAGGCTAGAGCTGCAACTTTCAAGGAGCGGGGACGCTTATAAGAAATCCCGCTATGCCCTCCGACGAATCATCAAACAGGCACAGCATCAATACAGGACTAAGATTGAATCCTACTACACCGGCTCTGACGCTCGTCAGATGTGGCAGGGCTTGCAAACTATCACGGATTACAAAGGGAAGCCCAGTCGCGAGCTGCCCAGTGACGCAAGCCTACCAGACGAGCTGAATGACATCTATGCGCGCTTCGAGGCAAGCAACACTGAAGCATGCATGAGAGCACCAGTTGTTCCGGACGACTGATCACGCTCTCTACAGCCGGTGAGTAAGACCTTTAAACAGGTCAACATTCACATGGCCTCAGGGCCAGACGGATTACCAGGACGTGTACTCAGAGAATGCGCTGACCAACTGGCAAGTGTCTTCATTGACATTTTCAACCTCTCCCGAACAGAGTCTGTAATACCTATGTTTCAAGCAGACCACCATAGTCCCTGTGCCCAAGAATGTCAAGGTAACCTGCCTAAATGACTAACAACCCGTAGCACTCATGTCTGTAGCCATGAAGTGCTTTGAAAGGCTGGTCATGGCTCACATCAACACCATCATCCCAGAAACCCTAGACCCACTCCAATTCGCATACCGGCCCAACAGATCCACAGATGACGCAATCCCTATTGCACTCCACACTGCCCTTTCCCACCTGGACAAACGGAACACCTATGTGAGAATGCTGTTCATTGACTACAGCTCATCGTTCAACACCATAGTGCCCTCAAAGCTCATCTCTAAGCTAAGGACCCTGGGACTAAACACCTCCCTCTGCAACTGGACTCCTGGCATCCGACCGCAAGGCGCTACAGAGGGTAGCGCATATGGCCCAGTACATCACTGGGGCCAAGCTTCCTGCCATCCAGGACCTCTATACCAGGCAGTGTCAGAGGAAGGCCTTAAAAATGGTCAAAGACTCCAGTCACCCAAGTCATAGACTGTTCTCTCTGCTACTGCACAGAAAGCGGTACCGGAGCGCCAAGTCTAGGCGCATGTGACAAATAACATTTGATTGGATTCAGATGCGGGCAGTATAGGAGCTTCATGGCAAAAACTAAGATTGGCCAATAGCTTCTACCCCCAGACCATTAGGACATTTACCCTGCCCCCACCCAATTGACATTTATAATGCTGAATAGTCACCACTAGTCAGCTACATGCTCCCCCCCCCCCCCGTTGGAGCTCGGAGCTTAAGACTTTCACCGTACCCTACATTCACATCTGCAACCCTGTGCATTTAACTAATAAACTCTCTCTCTAGCCAAGTTAATGCAATTACATATTGTTATAGGCAAGTTAATGCAATTTAAATGTGTGTAAGTGATTGAAGTTCAGTTGCTATAGTCACATGTAAAGCAAAGTGTAATCGAAATCTATCTAATAATGGGAAAGTATTGTGCAGTAGACTGAATAAAGCAGGGCAGGTGAAGTTACCTCTAGAAGACATAGCGTAGATAAGGCCTCTGTTTCTCTGCGATCTGCCCCATAGACATAATCTGTAACGGGGGGGGGGGAGGAGTCCATCACACTCAACAACAACATACCAGCGTTATGTATTGTTCATAACATACACCTTCAGAAGGTATTCATACCCCTTGACTTATTCCACATTTTGTTGCGTTACAGTCTGAATTCAAAATGGATTAAATTGATGTTGTTTTCTCACCCATCTACACAATACCCCATAATAACAAAGTGAAAATATGTTTTTAGAAGTGTTTGCAAATGTATTGAAAATGAAATACAGAAATATCTAATTTACATAAGTATTCACACCCCCGAGTCAATACATGTTAAAATCACCCTTGGCAGCAATTACAGCTGTGAGTCTTTCTGGGTAAGTCTCTAAGAGCTTTGCACACCTGGATTGTACAATATTTGCACATTATTCTTTTAAAAATTCTTCAAGCTCTGTCAAGTTGATTGTTGATTATTGCTAGACAGCCATTTTCATGTGTTGCCATAGATTTCCAAGCAGATTTATGTCAAAACTAACTAGGCCACTCAGGAACATTCAATGTCGTATTGGTAAGCAATACGTATATGTATATTTGGCCTGGTGTTTTAGGTTATTGTCCTGCTGAAAGGTGAATTAATCTCCCAGTGTCTGGTGGAAAGCAGACTGAACCAGGTTTTGCCTGTGCTTAGCTCCATTCCGTTTCTTTATCCTGAAAAACTCCCCAGTCCTTAATGATTACAAGCATACCCATAACATGATGCAGCCACCACTATGCTTGAAAATATGGAGCGTGGTACTCAGTAATGTGTTGTATTGGATTTGCCCTAAACGTAACACTTTGTTTTCAGAACAAAAAGTTAATTGCTTTGCCACATTTTTTGCAGTATTCCTTTAGTGCCTTGTTGCAAACAGGATGCATGTTTTGGAATATTTGTATTCCGTACATAATTCCTTCTTTTCACTCTGTCATCTATGTTAGTATTGTGGAGTAACTACAATGTTGTTGATCCATCCTCAGTTTTCTCCTTTCACAGCCATTAAACTCTGTAACTGTTTTAAAGTCACCATTGGCCTCATGGTGAAATCCCTGAGCAGTTTCCTTCCTCTCCGGCAACTAAGTTAGGAAGGATGCCTGTATCTTTGTAGTGACTGGGTGTATTGATACACCATCCAAAGCCTAATGAATAACTTCACCATGCTCAAAGGGATATTCAGCAAAAATTTTTTTTTTTTACACATCTACCAATCGGTGGCCTTCTTTGCGAGGCATTGAAAAACCTCCTTGGTCTTTGTGCTTGAATCTGTGTATGTCTGGGGTACGGAGATTGGGTAGTCCTAAAAAATTAATAATCATGTGACACAAAATCTAAATTTAATCAATTTAAAATTCAGGCTGTAACAACAAAAATGTGGAAAGAGTAGAGGGGTGTGTATACTTTCTGAAGGCACTGTGAAGAAGGTAAGAGAACTTGAGTGATGTACTGTGTGTACCAGAATGCTATACACATTCAGCAAATCTTTCAAAGGATAAAATCAACGATTTGTATGGATAGGCTTCTACAAGTTCTTACCATTCAGGCTGGTGGAGACTTCAGGGCTGACGTTGTTGTTGAGAAATGAAATACTCTTCTGTCCTGGAGAAACTGGTTTCCCATCCCTGGAGGGAAAAGAAAGATATGAGATCAACATAGCTAGGCCAAGCATAATGAGCACATGTACTTCTTGGACGGGGTTCTGAAGAGGGCATTACAGGAAGTAATCATTTGTTGAGTCTCTCAGTTTCAAACCTCTTTGGCGCTAGCTGGCAAGGACTGCCTTGCACAGAAATTGATTGATAATGTTAACTAGTAAAGGACATTTCCTGAAGAAAATGTGTAGGGGCTAGGGGTCTATTTGGAATTCAGGGTGAGGGTTAAGTGTACCTTGTAGCTTTGATAGTGAGCTCCCTGAGGGAGATCTCCAGCAGCCTGCAGCTCTCATTGAGGGTCAGGTCCAGAGTTGGAGCTCCGTTGATATAGTGGACCAGGTCTAAGGGCCTCAGACTGCCCTCCATCAGCGCCGCCGAGCCAGGCAGGACCTCCTTTATGAACAACACCCCGTACACACTGTCACTGCCCCCGTCCAATACTAGACCTGTAGGGAGAGTTGCAACGTTAAGCTTTATGAACAACACCCTGTAACTAGAGGTCTTCACGGGTCCACCCGAACCTGAATACCCGACAGGGTCCTGGTCCAAAATTCTAACATTTCCCTCGGTTCTGGGTCAGATCCTGTTTGATTGTCGTCGGGTCTTGGGTCTAGTCTATAGCATATTTATTCTACGCTAATAAGGTGAATTTATTGACTTATGGAAGGCCTAGCCAACATATGAAGTTCTAAGATCAACTTGGCTGATTTAAAAAAAGATTGTCACTAGGGTCCAATTGGGTCTGGTCTAGACCTGTACCCGTTAGGTCTAGCTAGGTCTGGTTGTCGTCGGGGTCCATTTGGGTTTGGGTCTGATTGTTCTCGAGTCCGTTCGTGTATGATTATCCTCGGATCCAAGTTTTCGGACCCAGAAAGACTTCTAACCCATACACACAGTCACTTCCCCTGTCCAATACTAGACCTGTAGGGAGAGATACAACAACGTTAAGCTTCATGAACAACACCCCATATACACGGTCACTGTCCCCCCGTCCAACACCAGCCCTGCAGAGAAAATATGTTTTAAAATGTTTCGCTACGGAAAAGTGAAGTCCAGCTAGGTCCTACCGGTTTCAGTCCATTTTCTTCTGTTTGGTGCCTACTGAACACAACCCTGACCTTCTGAACCAAAAGCTGTCGCCTAAAACACCACAGCGAGGCAGTGAAAGCTTATTTATGGTCCAAAAAAAACCCCACCACACATTCCTTTCAAACTGCAATCTAACACCCTTACATCTTGTGCTTTCTTGGCCCCCGGGACATGAGCACTGCCCATGTGACATGTTATCTTTACAATGATCATTATCGCTGAGGTTGATAACCCAAAACCAAAACAGTGGCATTTTGGTATATTTTCAACAGTTCAACAGTTGAAGAGGGATGATACACATTAGTTAAGTAGATAACTTTAGGCAGTCTAAATAGATAAATATCTCTATATCTCTCTTACCTAATGTTTGGTCAGGGCACTGGAAGGAGATGTCAGGCAGTAGGTGTGCCTCTATGGGGGGTTTAGGGGCCTCCAGGACCCTTCCTACCACTAGATCTACCACCCTGGGGGCCGCTCTCACCAGGTTCACCACCTCAGTGTGGCCCATGTTGGACACATCTTTGTTGTTCACCTGAAAGGGGGGAGAGAGAGGAGGATGGTAGGATGAAGGAGGAAGAGGCAAAGTTAGCAAAGAGCTACAGGTGGAATTCTTGTGATATAGCATGACAGAGAGTGTTCAACAAGACTATCAATTTGTCTGTCTTCAATTCCTCGCAATCCTCTCTCCGTGTGTCCTCAAACTGCATTGGAGGTGGAGATCCGAACTCTCACTCCTCACATCCTTCTTAAAATGGAGGAGGAGGTGAGGAATCAAGGAAAGCCAAATTGAGAGCGCCCCAGAGTGAGTGTTCAGTAGTTGTGTACCATGATCATGCGATCCCCGGGCCGCAGCCTGCCGTCTCCCTTGGCAGGGTCCTGGATGATGTCATGGATGTAACAGCCCAGGTCATTGCCTTTGGTCAGAGTAAACCCCAGGCTTCCTTTCTCAGACTTCACAAGGGACACTTTCAGCTCCACGTCCTAACACACAGATAGAGGTAAACAAACACCGTTGGAATCAAACTCTGCTAAAAATGATGAACAACAGACTAAATACTACATAGTTACATAACTACATGGATAATGCACATTAAATCCTTGCTTCCTCTGCCCATGAGAGGTTCCCTTGGACCTCCTCCTCCAATGTGCTTTGAGAGAGAGGCAAGGAATGGAGGAAACCAGGACGGTCGAAGTACTTGTGTTTTCAGACAGTCCTAGTGTTCCCCTGCTCTTACCGGCACAAACTCGTCCATGTCTTGTCTGTTGTCTGGCAGGGTGTGGGTGAGGTTGAAGAGCGGTGGTAGAGGGGGAGGCAGGGGGTCGGGACTGGGGGCTTCTCGTTGAGGGGTGGTGGCCAGGTCAGGGGTCAGAGGGGAGGAGGAGGGACACCTGCGGAAACAGAACAGAAGGAATCAATCAAATAAGTCATTTTTACATCAGCAGTCGTCACGAGGTGCTATACAGTGACCCGGTTTAGACCCCAAAGAGCAAGCAGAAGCTGAAGCACAGTGACCTGGGAAAACGGAGGTGACATTCCTAGTCTATAACGTTAACATAGAAATAACTTGTGTAGAACAGATCATACAATATTATTGTCTGTCAGGTAGAATAAAAAACTGTCAGCTGAGCTCTTTTCATTACGTTTCACCTCGACTGAACGAACCCCATCTGACTGCAGTGAGTCACCTCTCATTGGTTACGGTACTAATGACCTGGAAACTATATCACCTCTCATTGGTTACGCTAGCAATGTGCGTCACTGCATTTGCCTCTGGGGGAAAGAGACATAATAATCTTGTGATTGTTATCGCAGAGAAATTACATCATAATCGTCTACAAACACTTCCAAAGACAACTGGAAATGTTATCAGAGGAGGAAATAGAACTGTCATTAACTTAACTTGATCCCTGATCTATTTGTGCCGTCTTGCCAACTCCCAGCACAAACAGATCTAGGATCTGAGTGGTATACTACAAAGCATGATCAATGCATTAGCCAGCTAACTTTGATAAACAACCAGAAATAACTATAGATTTTCTGGTTCATTAAGGCTGCATTTACACAGGCAGCCCAATTCTGATATTTTTTGCTACTAATTGGTCTTTGGATCATAATTGGGCAAAAGATCAGAATTGGGCAGCCTGTGTAAACGCAGCCTAAGAAAGCTCAACTTAGATATGCGTTTTTGGTTCTTGAGTCGATTAGACCACGACCATTTCAAGCTTATCTTTCTAAAAAGTATAACGTTATTTCAGAACATTTAGGCAGGTTAGCTGGCTAACTCATGAATCCTTCTTTGTTAGATTATGTTAGATCTGGGATCAGGCTATCCCTCTCTGGGTTCAGGCTATCATGAGTAAAATCAGCAGTAGGATCTAATCATTACCTTCTGCTGAGGTTGGCCAGTGACAGGTTGGGAGAGTAGTAGGCAGAGCGGATGGTGTCATCCAGCTCACAGGGGGTCTCATACTGGCGGAGCCTCCCCAGAGTGAGGTTACTGCTGGGGGTCTGGTAGATACTACGGTCCCAGGCTTGTCGGCCCTGCTCCAGAGAGGGGCTGAAGGCCTCCTCCACCTGAATAAATTAACAAATTAATTAATTAACTAATGAATGAATAAATCCATTGTTTAGTCATTTGTGAATTTGACAAATGTACAGTTGCCTCAGCCGAGTGAAACAATACGCACATCATTGACGATTAAAAACTCAAAGCCAACACAACCCATATCTATTGTGGTTCTTGTTATCAATTGTTACCAGTGATCAATTAAATCGTTACCTCCTCATCATCCGTGCTGTCGCTGTAGCTGTCCCGTCGGCTGGGGGACTTCATGAGCAGTCTCTCCAGAGCTTCCTCCACTGGCCCAGGTCTCTCCAGAGCTTCCTCCACTGGCCCAGGTCCCAGATCCTGGTTCCTCATCCCCTCAGACCCCACAGGGGAGGCTGTCCTGGGACTGGCCAGGCTGCATTCAGGCTGCTGGGTCTGGGCTACTGGTTCCTTACGAGGAGAGGCCATGGAAGTCTGGGTAGTGGTGAAAGAGATACACTCAGTAAGTATATTAGTGTAAAGCTCACTAAATATAAAAAAAATACTAATATACACTCCACTCCACTTAAAGTGAATGTGGTTATAGTGAGGAAACTGTCTTGCATATTGTCCTATGTGATCACTGTAAGAGAAATGCAGGCATTTTGCCCAGTTTGTGGACCAAATGAGAGGTGCTGGTGGCTGGTAGAGTTTCTCACCAGAGCAGAGGAGTCCGTCTCAGTTAAGACCCCCTGGTCAGGTCTACAGAGCAGCAGAGTCACCTCCTGCCCGGTCCCTCGCAGCGCTGAGATCACCTCCTAGTGGCAGGGCAGAGAAACACAACAGAATATTCAATATAAAATGGTTAAAGTCATATAATATTGGCATACAAGGAAAGTCCGTTTTTTCAACTGGAAAAATCTATTTGAAACCCCACCCCAATATAACCTATTGATTGACTGAATTGATCCATATTGAAAAGGTGACATACGTGCTGCGAGAGTCCTTTGAGGGGCATCTGGTTGACACGGAGGATGACGTCACCCACGTTGATGCGTCCACTCTCAGCGGCAGGTTGCCCGGGGAACAACTTCTTGACCCGGACCATGCTGGAGCCGTTACCAGTGGTCTGGTCAGGCAGGGTGCCCTCTCTGCTGAAGCTGAACCCTAGGCCTGATGAGTTCTTCAGCAAGGGCACCTCAAATACATTGTCTGGGGGGGACAGGAAGACACGAGACAACTTTATTGTCCATCAAAATGTGAATTTTTTTTGCAGTCTGGTATTTGACTCCCAACTCTCCCGGACACGACACACAAACGAGAGACTGGTAGAAGCACAGGGTCAGCTGCAGAGCAATGCCCCTGGAGCAAAGTTAGGGTTTAAGTGCCTTGCTCAAGGGCACAACGGCAGTAGGGCACAATGTCATACATTACAAATCAAAGACGAGCAACTGCTGGTGACGTATAAGAAAGCAATGAGTGATGAAGCTGTACTGTACTGGACACTCACCGTCAGTGATGAAGCTGTACTCTGGCTGGGCTTTAGGCTGAGTAGGCTCTGGCGCCTGTTTCTGTTGGTCGTTGGGCACAGAGGGAGGGGTGCACTGAGGCGTCAGGGGGGCGTGGACACGGTCCGCAGGGAGCTGACCCTTCTCTAACAGCAAGTGGACCATCTGAAGAGGGGAGGAGCAGAGGAGAGGGGAGGAGCAGAGGAGAGGGGAGGAGCAGAGGAGAGGGGAGGGGAGGTCCAGAGGAGAGGGTAGGACCAGAGGAGAGGGGATGAGCAGAGGAGAAGGGGAGAGGAGAGGGGAGGGGAGGAGCGGGGAGGAGCGAAGGAGAGGGGAGGAGGAGCGGAGGAGAGGGGAGGAGGAGCGGAGGAGAGGGGAGGAGGAACGGAGGAGAGGGGAGGAGGAGCGGAGGAGAGGGGAGGAGGAGCGGAGGAGAGGGGAGGAGGAGCGAAGGAGAGGGGAGGAGGAGCGAAGGAGAGGGGAGGAGGAGCGGAAGAGAGGGGAGGAGGAGTGGAGGAGAGGGGAGGAGGAGTGGAGGAGAGGGGAGGAGGAGTGGAGGAGAGGGGAGGAGCGGAGAGTAACACCACTGGTCAGAAAGCACAAGGAGTCTCAAACAGGAGAGAGGACACCAGCCTATATAGTAGATAGATGCTGGAACAGGAGAGAGGACACCAGCCTATATAGTAGATAGATGCTGGAACAGTAGAGAGGACACCAGCCTATATAGTAGATAGATGCTGGAACAGGAGAGAGGACACCAGCCTATATAGTAGATAGATGCTGGAACTTGCTAAACAAGCTAATGGACTAACTGTCTGGATGAATCACACCATAGGTAAGTGGAAATAAGGTAAAACTTATTGAACTATCCCTTTAACAGTGACTGTGTAAGTACTGACCTTTCCAGTATCTCTGAGGGTCTCCACAGCCTGCTTGTGAGTGGCTCCTTCCAGATTCTTCCCATTGACAGCCACCACCCTGTCACCTAGTAACAATAGAGAGAGAGACAGGTATTACACTGAGTGTACAAAACATTAGGAACATCTTAATATTGAGTTGCACCCCCCTATAGAAATGTTGCGCTACATCAGCTCATGGGCTCTCATGAAGCGTTTGATTAGATTTCTGATGACATTTGCATTGATGTCAGAGTGATTAGAGGGACAATAGAGTGCTGAGTACCAGGCAGTTAGCAAGGTTGCTAGGCTACTAATGACCAGCAGCAGCATCACGTGGAATTTGACTGCCTTCATGACTCGTGACTGCCGGTGTGGCGGTAATACGGTCACCGCAACAGCCCTATGCCTGTCACCTACTACCATACCCCGTTCAAAGGCATTTAAATATTTTGTCTTGCCCACTCACCCTCTGAATGGCACACATACACAATCCATGTCTCAATTGTCTCAAGGCTTAAAAATCCTTCTTTATCCTGTCTCCTCCCCCTTCATCTACACTGATTGAAGTAGAGTTAACAAGTGGCATCAATAAGGGATCAGAGCTTTCACCTGGATTCACCTGGTCAGTCTGTGTCATGGAGAGAGTTGTTAATGTTTCGTAGACTGAGTGTATATAAACACAGTCTGACTCAGAAAACACCAGTCAAGCATCAAGGTGCTGACAACATGATACCACAGCAGGTTTGGTGGGAATCCTCCATGCTGGCTGTAGTCCATCAGGGCAATGTTCAGTAGGGTACACCATAGCACAAGGTTTTGCTACGGAAAACGTAAATCTGTGTTCTTATTGGACAAGTTCAGGTAGTACTCCCAGTTTCTAAATGTTTCAAAAATGTTTTCTCCCTACTGATGCGTGTTCATTAGGTCAACAAATGGAACAACACAGACTGGAAACAGGGAGGGGTCTACCTGGACACAATCCAATAAAGAAACCCTCGTTTTAAAATGTTTTGCTACGTTGTGCCTTACTGAACAGGACCCAGGTGCTATAGCTTACCCTTCTGGATCCTTCCGTCCAGTTCTGCAGCTCCTTTCGGGATGATGGCTTTCACATAAACACCTCCATGCTTCACACTGGTATTCACTCCACCCTGAGGAGAACAGGTCATGTTACTACAGTCAACCAGACAGAGTTGGAGTATAATGCTGTATTCCTGTCGATCACGGACTACCTGGCTCTTGTCTACGGGGTTATTATTTATGGTCATATAGTGGGGTTGTATTATAAGTATCAGATTTTGCTAAATGGTGTTGTTAACATGACAGATCGCCATGATAGATCACATGATTAAAGTTTAAAGACCTTGAATAATAATAATAATAATTATTATTATTATAAATAATATGTGCCACAACAGGCATTGTGCTCTTCTTATGAATTTGTATTGGTACTGACTGAATCTCTGGTCTTTGAGTAGCTAAGTAAGGTGCCTTAGTGTTTGCCTTATGCAGGAAAGCAGGCTTTTAAATCATCAAGTTTGAGATGATTCAGAGGGGGGGAAAAAAATCACACTGCTGGTCACTTCTGCAAATCAAAGTGGTCAAGCAGGCAGCGGCACAACATCTAAGCAGGCATTAGTACTAAATGATTAATACCACAATTAAAAACTGGTGGGTCGTCATAGGGTAAAATTATCCCTCTGTAATCTGTACCTACTGTGGCAGTGTCACCCATTAGTGAATCCTTATCCATTCAAAATGTCTGTGAGAAAATCAGCATGCAAAGAGACGCAAGACAATCTACAAATCCCACAGAGCTTCGAAAGCAGCACAGCTACACGAAACCAGCACATACACTACACACATACACCAGTCACCTGGAAAGAAAAAACCTGAAGAAAACCTTTTCCGAACAGTACCAGAAACAGTACCAGAAACAGAACCAGTAACAGAACCAGTAACAGAACCAGTAACAGTACCGTGACACTTATGCCCAGGCTTCTGTCCTTTTTAGACAGCTCAACGTCAAACAGATCTCCAGGAGAGAGACTACTGACCCCTGGGACATTACCACTTAACCCTCCCATGATGCCGTTGAGGAGAGGAGGAGTTAACTCCTGCAAACAGAGAACATGGCAGTAAATGGAATGTTGGGGTTGTGGCCAGGCATCAGACATGCAGAGAGAATAACAGGAAGTTGTTTTATAGAGGGGAAGGAATTGGTATAGGAAGTATAACATATAGGAAAGGATCAAAAGGATGCAGCCATTCTATAACGCTGTATTGCATTTGTTAAAATTCTAAAATGCAATGACAGGTAGCCATAACATGATTAAGCAAAACATGCAATTAGTTTGTAAAGAACGTCAAGCATTTGAGAGGTCGTTTGTTAACTGCGTGCATCTTTGTAGTGGTACTGTACAGTGTACCTTGGGGACACCTACAAACATATGACTAACTATTAGGGACTGTTTTCCCAGGTAGTTTTCAGGTGATACACAAGATGTTCTCAACATTATTCGCTGTAAATGTTGCTCTTTAATTTAATCTTGTAGCCTACTGACTATCAGACATGTCAAAAGCACCAAAACATCACCAGAGAAAAAACTCTCCATTACAGGTAACTGAAACAGAGCTAGCACCTGTTGAACTCTTGTTGAACACACCAGCCCCTACCTACCTTTTTCAATTTTGGTTTCTCTTGACTACTAGAGTACGTCTCCTCATCCATTTCAGAGTCCCCTCTATCTGAATAGTCCGGGTCTTTAAGGATCTTAGCTTTCCTGGTTTTGGGTGGCAACGCCGGTGGAGCCACTTTGAGGGGGTCGAAGGTCAAGGCGATGTTGATGGTTTGATCCTGGTGATGGAGTATGGATACGGGTACTGAGGCAGCTTCAGTGGGCGGGGTGCGATGGGGTTGGGTGCCGTTGACGGGGGTCTGGAGGGGTGCATTGGTGCTCTCGGTCCTGGAGTCCTGTGACTGGAGGCTGCCCTGGCGTGGGACAGTGGAGACAGACAAGGGGGTGGTGGTGGTGGTGGGGAGAGGAGGGCTGGGGGAGCCTGTTCCTGCTTCCTGTTCCTCAAATGAAGACTCAAAGTCCAGGTCCTGTTGTCTCTGTCTGGAGACCGCCAGAGGAGCCTGGGGTTTATATGGAGCAAACCCTGACGGAGACTCTAGAGGAGACCGAGAGGAATACTGGTTGTGATTGCAATGCTACTGATTATAAAGCGTGACATAGGCACTTATAACACCTCATAAACATCTAGAACTACATTCATAAAGGATACTAGTTATAAGATTGCTCTGCCACTAACTACTACTGTCAGACCTACCACTAAACTCAGCCAGTCAGACCTACCACTAAATCACTAAACCTGACCATAACTCTATCCTCCTGATTCCTGCTTACAAGCAAAAACTAAAGCAGGTAGCACCAGTGACTTGGTCAATAAAGAAGTGGTCAGATGACACAGATGCTAAGCTACAGGACTGTTTTGCTAGCACAGACTGGAATATGTTCTGGGATTCTTCCGATAGCATTGAGGAGTACACCACATCAGTCACTGGCTTCATCAATAAGTGCATCGATGATGTCGTCCGCACAGTGACCGTTCGTACATATCCCAACCAGAAGCCATGGATTACAGGCAACATCCGCACTGAGCTAAAGGGTAGAGCTGCCGCTTTCAAGGAGCGGGACTCTAACCCGGACGCTTATAAAAAATCCCACTATGCCCTCAGACGAACCATCAAACAGACGAACCATCAAACAGGCAAAGCGTCAATACAGGACTAAGACTGAATCGTACTACACCGGCTCAGACGCTCGTCGGATGTGGCAGGGCTTGCAAACTATTACAGACTACAAAGGGAAGCACAGCCGCAAGCTGCCCAGTGACACGAGTCTACCAGACGAGCTAAATTACTTCTATGCTCGCTTCGAGGCAAGCAACACTGAAGCATGCATGAGCGCATCAGCTGTTCCGGACGACTGTGTGATCACGCTCTCCGTAGCCGATGTGAGTAAGACCTTTAAACAGGTCAACATTCACAAGGCTGCAGGGCCAGACGGATTACCAGGACGTGTACTCCGAGCACGCGCTGACCAACTGGCAAGTGTCTTCACTGACATTTTCAACCTGTCCCTGTCTGAGTCTGTAATACCAACATGTTTCAAGCAGACCACCATAGTCCCTGTGCCCAAGAACACTAAGGTAACCTGTCTAAATGACTACAGACCCGTAGCACTCACGTCTGTAGCCATGAAGTGCTTTGAAAGGCTGGTCATGGCTCACATCAACACCATTATCCCAGAAATGTGCATACCACCCCAACAGATCCACAGATGATGCAATCTCTATTGCACTCCACACTGCCCTTTCCCACCTGGACAAAAGGAACACCTACGTGAGAATGCTATTCATTGACTACAGCTCAGCGTTCAACACCAGTGTCCTCAAAGCTCATCACTAAGCTAAGGACCCTGGGACTAAACACCTCCCTCTGCAACTGGATCCTGGACTTCCTGACTGGCCGCCCCCAGGTGGTAAGGGTAGGTAACAACACATCTGCCACGCTGATCCTCAACACAGGGACCAATCAGGGGTGCGTGCTCAGTCCCCTCCTGTACTCCCTGTTCACCCATGACTGTATGGCCAGGCACGACTCCAACACCATCATTAAGTTTGCCGACGACACAACAGTGATAGGCCTGATCACCGACGACAACGACGAGACAGCCGTGTGGTGCCAGGACAACAACCTCTCCCTCAACGTGAGCAAGACAAAGGAGATGATCGTGGACTACAAGAAAAAGAAGAGGACCGAGCATGCCCCCATTCTCATCGACGAGGCTGTAGTGGAGCAGGTTGAGAGCTTCAAGTTCCTTGGTGTCCACATCACCAACAAACTATCATGGTCCAAACACACCAAGACAAAGCCCATTTCCCCTCAGGAGACTGAAAAGATTTGGCATGGGTCCTCAGATCCTCAAAAAGTTCTACAGCTTTACCATCGTGAGCATCCTGACTGGTTGCATCACTGCCTGGTATGGCAACTGCTCGGCCTCTGACCGCAAGGCACTACAGAGGGTAGTGCATACGGCCCAGTACATCACTGGGGCCAAGCTCCCTGCCATCCAGGACCTCTATACCAGGCGGTGTCAGAGGAAGGCCCTAACAATTATCAAAGACTCCAGCCACCCTAGTCATAGACTGTTCTCTCTGCTACCGTACGGCAAGCGGTACCGGAGCGCCAAGTCTAGGTCCAAAATACTTCTTAACAGCTTCTACCCCCAAGCCAAAAAAATAATAATATATATATATACTCTGTACCGGTACCCCCATGTATATAGCCTCCCTACTGTTATTTTACTGCTGCTCTTTAATTATTTATTTTTTATTTTTATTTTTTACTTATCTATTTTTTACTTAACACTCATCTTTCTTAAAACTGCATTGTTGGTTAAGGGCTTGTAAGTAAGCTATGGTGGAAAAATAACAAGATGATGTTTAATACTGTTTATGCAATAGAATAGGGTTCTTAGAACTCTCGTCTGTGTGAACTGAGAGGAACCTCTGAAGCTGGGCCTGGCAGTTGATTTAGGGATGACTAGGTGATAAAACCAACTGCCACTTTCCATTTCATGATTAATGGTGTGTGAGATGGAGATGTCTCTGGTCTGACTGAGCCTGCATTTTCATGGACTGAATTGGTGTACCAGGCTCGGGTAATGTTGATAAGAACCTTGTCTTGGGGGCCAAACCCTGGATTGCATACAATGAGAACAGTCTTCATAGCAGATACTGTCTGCTGTGAATTATTAATTTATTTCATACAAATCCTAACCTTTTGACTCATTCCAAACATCTGCTGTTTGTCATGTAGAGTGAGAGGGGGTATTGTGCTATAAAATATATTTGTATTGTCTGTATGTCAGAGCTCTCCACCTCACTTACTACCTTATTAATACGTTTTGAATAAAGTAATATCTTGATTGGTGATTGACCTTGTCTCTCCTCATTATTGATTAGAATTTCCACAACAAAGCAATTCACTGTAAGGTCTACACCTGTTGTATTCGGCGCATTTGACAAATAAAATTCAGGACAAAAAGGTACTTTAACTGCTCATAAACATCTATAATAAGTACATAACTACCTCTCTGGGCTGGGAGCTATACATAATGGATCGTGCTGAATGATTTACCGACGTTTCTTTATTCCGGTTATTAACTAGTTGACCTGACGTCGGTTCAATTACTTGAATTCCATTTAATGTTTGTTTTTTGTCAGCCCAACGCACCGTTTTTCTAGAGAGAATTTAAATGATTCACGAGAGAAATCAAGTCAAGAACTATGTGGGATGCTGGGCTGAAGGGAGATGTAGTTTTCATTAAGCAAATATTCAACCTAGTTCAGCGCAGAAACGTGGTAATTAACTACAATGACCATAATCCATTGCGCCTGTTTTTCCCGGCTCAGACAGAGACGGATCAGAGAGGAAGAGGTGAAGCGAGATGTTTCACTCTCGACTAAGCTTGCCGCCTGCCTTCCAGCCATTGGGACAACAACTCCCATTGTTAGGGCGGAGACATGAGCATCTCGTCATTATATACAGTGCTCTGGATGGATACACTTTTACGCCTGCTACGTTAGGTTAGATACACACAGACCGCAATGAGAGAGGAATGTACACAGCGACGAGAGAGAGGGACAGAGACAGTTTGTGAAAGTATACCTTATTTACTTTGAAGAACTAGTAAAATGATTTTGTCAGACAGGCTAGCTAAATAGGATGACTAAAGACAGGACAGTATGGGGAGCGCATAACGTTAGATGGCCTGGCTGGCTGACTGCTACAGCCTGAGCAGAGATGAGATGATAACTTTAAGGAATGAAAAATAATAAAGTAATCAAACAAAAACTAATATACGCAACTGAAATATTTTATTATTTCATAGTCATTTCTATGGATGTCTACCCAATGTGGACCTGACAGAGACAATGGAATATGTTCAATGTTTTGGCAATTGAATGTTCACTATTTTTGTCTTTGGAATGACCATTAAAATCTTTGTAATGTCATTATTTCATTTAATGTTAAAATAAATAAAAACCGAAAACTGTGATTATGTTTTAATCATCGAACTGAAACCGACCTAAAGCACTAATCGCTCAGCACTATAATGGATTATAATGCACAACAAAAAGGTGCTTATAACTACTCATAAAAATCTATAATAACTACATAAATACCTCCATAGAGCATTTCTGTGAGCGATACATAATGTACGACATAGCTGCTAATAACTGCCCATAAACATCTATAACTACCTTCATAGAGCCTCTCTTTGGGTTGAGACACCACCAGTGTGATGTCATCGGGGGCGCTCTGCAGGACCTCGATGGCAGCGGAGTGGGGGAGGCCCTCTAGGTTCACCTCATTCACAGAGATTAGACGGTCCCCTGCAGAACACAACACACCACATTCTGATACTGTCACCCACACTGCACATACTAGAGCAATATGGAGTTACCTATTCCACACAATGATGATACGGCTCTCTGAAAGTTACAAAGTAAGGCTTCCTGATGGATGCAAAATACCCTTTTCTGAACCATTTACATACACTATATATCCAAAAGTATGTGGACACCCCTTCAAATTAGTGGATTTGGCCATTACAGCCAACCCGTTGCTGACAAGTGTATAAAATCGAGCCCACAGCCATGCAATCTCCATAGACAAACATTTGCAGTTGAATGGCCTTACTGAAGAGCTCAGTGACTTTCAACTTGGCTCCGTCATAGGATGCCACCTTTCCAACAAGTCAGTTCGTCAAATTTCTACCCTGCTAGAGCTGCCCCGGTCAACTGTAAGTGCTGTCATTGTGAAATGGAAATCTCTAGGAGTAACAACGGCTCAGCCACGAAGTGGTAGGCCACACAAGCTCACAGAACGGGACGAGTGCTGAAGCGCGTGAAAAAAAAATTGCCTGTCCTCGGTTGCAACACTCACTACCGAGATCCAAACTGCCTCTGGAAGCAACGTCAGCACAATAACTGTTTGTCGAAGAGCTTCGTGAATTGGGTTTCCATGGCCAAGCAGCCGCACACAAGCCTAAGATCCCCATGCGCAATGCCAAGTGTCGGCTGGAGTGGTATAAAACCCGCCACCATTAGACCCTGGAGCAGTGGAAACGCGTTCTCTGGAGTGATGAATCATGCTTCACCATCTGGCAGTCCGACGGACGAATCTGGGTTTGGCGGATGCCAGGAGAACACTACCTGCCCCAATGCATAGTGCCAACTGTAAAATTTGGTGGAGGAGGAATAATCTGGTCTGGGACTGTTCTTCGTGGTTCGGGCTAGGCTCCCTAGTTCCGTGAAGGGGAATCTTAACGCTACAGCATACAATTACATTCTAGATGATTCTGTGCTTCCAACTTTGTGGCAACAGTTTGGGGAAAGCTCTTTCCTGTTTCAGCATGACAATGACCCCGTGCACAAAGCGAGGTCCATACAGAAATGGTTTGTCGAGATTGGTGTGGAAGAACTTGACTGACCTGCACAGAGCCCTGACCTCAACCCCATCGAACACCTTTGGGATGAATTGGAACGCCGACTGCGAGCCAGGCCTAATCACCCAACATCAGTGCCCGACCTCACTAATGCTCTTGTGGCTGAATGGAAGCAAGTCCCCCAGCAATGTTCCAACCTCTAGTGGAAAGCCTTCCCAGAAGAGTGGAGGCTGTTATAGCAGCAAAGGGGGGGACCAACTCCATATTAATGCCCATGATTTTGGAATGAGATGTTGGACAAGCGGGTGTCCACATACATTTGGTCATGTAGTGTATCTTACACAAGTAGGAGCAGAACCTTTGGCTTCAAAAATATGTATGGTACAATATATTTTAGACATCAAGTGCATTATCTAAATGATGCTATATTATTATTCTACATTATATTATTATTCAATATATAATCATCATCATACAATATATTATTATTATTATTATTATTCTTCAATGCATTGTGTTATTGTTTTTCACTGACCTGGCTTGAGGCAGCCGTTGACATCTGCAGGACCCCCAGGAGTTATGGAGCTGATTAAGGTGCCAAGATCAACAAGACCAGAGTTCTGCCCCCCCCCTACTATCTGAAACCCTGTAGTAGACAGAGACAGACAGCAGGTTAGTATGAACAGATCAACAAGACCAGAGTTCTGCCCCACCCCCTACTATCAGAAACCCTGTAGTAGACCGAGACAGACAGCAGGTTAGTATGAACAGATCAACAAGACCAGAGTTCTGCCCCCCCCCCTACTATCTGAAACCCTGTAGTACAGTGCTTCTCAACTGGTAAGACGCGACCCAAATTTGGTTTTGAATGGGTCGCAGGTGGGTCGCAGGTGTCTTGAGTAAAAAAAAAAAAAAAAAAAAAAAAAAAGACTCCAGTCTGAACGACTTAAACCAGGTAGAAGGTGCGTAGAAATGATAATGAACTTAATTTTTTTTTAAAATAATTACATCTCTGAAAATGTTTCTTCAATCACAGTATTTTTAATATAGAGCTATAAGCAGTGTTATTTTGGTTGATTTTGGAGTCCCAAGCCAGGGAGTTCATTAACATTCTTCATCTAGACCATGGGCTACATTTCATTGACAATGAAAGAGGTGGGAATGTTGTTCCCTTGTATAATTGCTACATTTACTATCAATATAGCAGTAAAAATAGTTTTCCAGATAGTATTTTTTTTGCGATTCTTTTTCCGTGATGCGAGTATTGGATCGCGACTGAGACAACCTTGTTCAATTTGGGTCCCGAGGCAAAAACCAGCCGAGAACCACTGCCGTAGTCGAAAAACAGACAGCAGGTTAGGATGAACATGAATCAATGCCCTGGAAATCTCTACGATAAATGTGCCAACCACCAGATTGCGAGACTTATAAAAAGAAACCATAAAATGTCTTCCATCACTACCACTAAAGTCCTATCGCTGTAGCCCAGTCGTGTTTCCCTCCATGTTGGAGGTCCGTCCAACACAGCTACATGTTGTGGAGTGATAGCTAGCAGCACTAAATGAGGCTGTTTTTGGTCTGACAGTCTTAGTGCACTTCTATGCAGGTTGCCTGTTCTAGATCTGACAACCCTTCTGAGAGCCCTGGGACTAACCGCCATTTATCAGTGTCTTTGTATCAACTCGGCATTCTCTATTCCCGTTTCCATGGATCTATTGCTTCCCAATCTGTCAAACCCGTCCTGACAATCCAAGCTACACCGGAGTAAGCGAGGAACTCACCCAGGCCAGACTTCACATCTTTCTTCAGATTGACCGTGGTAATCTCTCTCTCTGGGGAAGGCAAGGCATTCAGCTTTGTCTTCAGGGAATCTTGGTAAAACACAATCCAAGGAGAACCATTTAGTTAGCTCTACAGAAGTATATAGAGCTACAAAAAAAAAAAAAACGACATCATGCATGTGGTACGAAAATGTCCCACTACTGTAAGTCGCTCTGGATAAGAGTGTCTGCTAAATTACTAAAATGGTACTCAGGACTCTAAAGCGTGACCAATCTGGTCGCATATGCAACATAATATTTTGCTGTGCGACCATGAGTTATATTTTGGGAGCACTGTGCGACTTTGAAAAACAATCTCCCAGATAATAACAAATCTGGTCAAAAGATCTGACCCATATTACCGGCGCAACATTTGTTGCTTCCTATAGCAGACGTTCATGTCATGGGCCGCTCCAAAACTACTCGCGCGTTGACATCGTTAACCATTTGTTTACACTTTGTTCACTCGTGTTACTTCATTGCTGGCTAACAACCTGGTACCTTTACCAGTACAACACCAGTGCCCGGCGCACAGAAATAAAGGAAGGGGGATATCTTCTTCAGCAGATCAATGATCACAGCAATGAATGAATGAATCTCTTGCATGTCATCATCACAAACCTGACCTTTTTTTTAAAGAGAAAGTGTACAATTTTCAATGTAATGCATCTCAATAGGGAAATAGTGCTTTTACACAATGTAGAAACCTGATACTCCACAAACGACTTTGTAATTTCAAATGAAAGGTATATAAACATTTTAGCTTTTATAATAACCAAATGTACAGTGTCTTCAGAAAGTAGTCATACCCCTTGACTTATTCCACATAAAAAATAAAATAAAAACATAATTCCACTTTGACATTATGGGGTATTGTGTGTAGATCAGTGACACAAAATCTCAATTTAAATCAATTTTAAATTCAGGCTGTAACACAACAAAAATGTGGACAAAGTCAAGGGTGGTGAATACTTCCTGAAGACACTGTAGATACAGTGTTACATATTAGTTTCTAGGGCACAACATGTACTTCAAAAGTAGCTAGAATTCATAAAGGCCCAACATAGGCTGTATCAATCAATTAAAACAAAAACAAAAAGTCCTAAACGTCATGTGGTGCTCCTAACTTTGTTTTATTTTTATTTATTTTTAATTTAGAGCCCAGGTGGTACTGAATGAGTTTTGTAAAGGGGATATATTTCAATATGTGAGAGTACATTTAAACAGTACCACTATCAAATCAAAATATCAAGGTTGTATTAAAGTTCACTGAGGACCATAACACATTCAATAATAAGAAGCTTATTGCAGGAACCTGGGTAACATAATAACACACTATGGTGAGCACATCACCCTGCAGGATAAATGACTTTCATGGTTAAATACATTAGCAAAGTGTGAATGGACAGCATTATCTGTGTGTGTGTGTGTGTGTGTGTGTGTGTGTGTGTGTGTGTGTGTGTGTGTGTGTGTGTGTGTGTGTGTGTGTATATTATCTCTGGTCTATCACAGAGACTGATGCATTACATTGCTCTGCTCTCTAAGCAACTGGGAGCAGCCTGCACCTATAACATAGGGAAGAGGTTTAAACAGGCTGACAGCTTTAGCATATCTATCTATATACCACTGTTATACAGCACAACAAGAAGCAGTGTGTGTGTTGGCCAGGGGCTAATAGGGGCTAACACACAGGCTAAGCTAGGGTAAAAGGGAAGGTCATGATACATTCTTGTGCCAAGCATGAGGCTATTAAACTGGGGAGACCTAGTCTAATTTAGTGCACTATATAGGCAATAGGGTGCCATTTTGGCCACACATGGGGAACAGAAGCCAGAGTTATGTAACTCTACCAACGAGACTTAGTGTTGTTGCAGTTACATACCCCTATATAACTGAGGCTAAAGGCAGCTAAAAAAGACACTCACTAGACCGATGACTGTGTCCCAAATGGCACCCTATTCCCTTTATAGTGCACTACTTATAAGTAGTAAAGGGAATAGGGTATTAGTGCACTATGAAGGGAATAGGGTATTAGTGCACTATAAAGGGAATAGGGTATTATGCACTATAAGGATGGTATTAGTGCACTATAAGGGAATAGGGCATTAGTGCACTATAAGGAATAGGCATTAGTGCCTATAAAGGGAATAGGCATTAGTGCACTATAAAGGGACATAGGGTAATTAGTGCACTATAAAGGGAATTAGGGTTTAGTGCACTATATATATGGGAATAGGGTATTAGTGCACTATAAGGGAATAGGGTATTAGTGCACTATAAAGGGAATAGGGTATAGTGCACTATAAAGGGAATAGGGCATTAGTGCACTATAAAGGGAATAGGGTATTAGTGCACTATAAAGGGAATAGGGTATTAGTGCACTATAAAGGGAATAGGGCATTAGTGCACTATAAAGGGAATAGGGCATTAGTGCACTATAAAGGGAATAGGGTATTAGTGCACTATAAAGGGAATAGGGTATTAGTGCACTATAAATGGAATAGGGTATTAGTGCACTATAAAGGGAATAGGGGTATTAGTGCACTATAAAGGGATAGGGTATTAGTGCCACTATAAAGGGAATAGGGTATTAGTGCACTATAAAGGGAATAGGGTAATTAGTGCACGATAAAGGGAATAGGGCATTAGTGCACTTTAAAGTGAATAGGGTATTAGTGCACTATAAAGGGAATAGGGTATTAGTGCACTTATAAGGGCAATCGGGCATTAGTGCACTATAAGGGCATAGGGTATTAGTGCACTCTAAAGGGAATAGGGTATTAGTGCACTATAAAGGGAAGAGGGTATTAGTGCCACTATAAGGGAATCGGGTATTAGTTGCCTATAAGGGGCAATAGGGTATTAGTGCACTATAAAGGGAATAGGGTATTAGTGCACTATAAGGGATAGGCATTAGTGCACTATAAAGGGAATAGGGTATTAGTGCACTATAAAGGGCAATAGGGTATTAGTGCACTATAAAGGGAATAGGGTATTAGTGCACTATAAAGGGAATAGGGTAGTAGGCACTATAAAGGCAATAGGGTATTAGTGCACTATAAAGGGAATAGGGTATTAGTGCACTATAAAGGGAATAGGGTATTAGTGCACTATAAAGGGAATAGGGATTAGTGCACTATAAAGGGAATAGGGTATTAGTGCACTATAAAGGGAATAGGGTCTTAGTGCACTATAAAGGGAGATAGGGTATTAGTGCACTATAAAGGGAATGGGTATTAGTGCACTATAAAGGGAATAGGGTATAGTGCACTATAAAGGGAATAGGGTATTAGTGCACTATTAAAGGGAATAGGGGTTTAGTGCACTATAAAGGGAATAGGGTTATTAGTGCACTATAAAGGGAAATAGGGTATTAGTGCACTATAAAGGGAATAGGGTATTAGTGCACTATAAAGGGAATAGGGTATTAGTGCACTATAAAAAGGGAATAGGGTATTAGTGCACTATAAAGGGAATAGGGTATTAGTGCACTATAAAGGGAATAGGGTATTAGTGCACTATAAAGGGAATAGGGGTATTAGTGCACTATAAAGGGAATAGGGTATTAGTGCACTATAAAGGGAATAGGGTATTAGTGCCTATAAAGGAATAGGGTATTAGTGCACTATAAAGGGAATAGGGTACTAGTGGTATTAGTGCACTATAAAGGGAATGGGATTAGTGCACTATAAAGGGAATAGTGGTATAGGGTATTTTAGTGCACTATAAAGGGAATAGGGTATAGTGCACTATAAAGGGAATAGGGTATTATTACACTATAAAGGGAATAGGGTATTAGTGCACTATAAAGGGAATAGGGTATTAGTGCACTATAAAGGAATAGGGTATTAGTGCACTATAAAGGGAATAGGGTATTAGTGATAATAGGGTACTAGGGTATTAGTGCACTATAAAGGGAATAGGGTATTAGTGCACTATAAAGGGAATAGGTATTAGTGCACTATAAAGGGAATAGGGTATTAGTGCACTATAAAGGGAATAGGGTATTAGTGCACTATAAAGGGAATAGGGTATTAGTGCACTATAAAGGGAATAGGGTATTAGTACACTATAAAGGGAATAGGGTATTAGTGCACTATAAAGGGAATAGGGTATTAGTGCACTATAAAGGGAATAGGGTATTAGTGCACTATAAGGGAATAGGGTATTAGTGCACTATAAAGGGATAGGGTACTAGGGTATTAGTGCACTATAAAGGGAATAGGGTATTAGTGCACTATAAAGGGAATAGGGTATTAGTGCACTATAAAGGGAATAGGGTATTAGTGCACTATAAAGGGAATAGGGTATTAGTGCACTATAAAGGGAATAGGGTATTAGTACACTATAAAGGGAATAGGGTATTCGTGCACTATAAAGGGAATAGGGTATTAGTGCACTATAAAGGGAATAGGGTATTAGTGCACTATAAAGGGAATAGGGTATTAGTGCACTATAAAGGGAATAGGGTACTAGGGTATTAGTGCACTATAAAGGGAATAGGGTACTAGGGTATTAGTGCACTATAAAGGGAATAGGGTATTAGTGCACTATAAAGGGAATAGGGTATTAGTGCACTATAAAGGGAATAGGGTATTAGTGCACTATAAAGGGAATAGGGTATTAGTACACTATAAAGGGAATAGGGTATTAGTGCACTATAAAGGGAATAGGGTATTAGTGCACTATAAAGGGAATAGGGTATTAGTGCACTATAAAGGGAATAGGGTATTAGTGCACTATAAAGGGAATAGGGGTACTAGGGGGTATTAGTGCACTATAAAGGGAATAGGGTATTAGTGCACTATTAAAGGGAATAGGGTATTAGTGCACTATAAAGGGAATAGGGTATTAGTGCACTATAAAGGGAATAGGGTATTAGTGCACTATAAAGGGAATAGGGTATTAGTGCACTATAAAGGGAATAGGGTATTAGTGCACTATAAAGGGAATAGGGTACTAGGGTATTAGTGCACTATAAAGGGAATAGGGTATTAGTGCACTATAAAGGGAATAGGGTATTAGTGCACTATAAAGGGAATAGGGTATTAGTGCACTATAAAGGGAATAGGGTATTAGTACACTATAAAGGGAATAGGGTATTAGTGCACTATAAAGGGAATAGGGTATTAGTGCACTATAAAGGGAATAGGGTATTAGTGCACTATAAAGGGAATAGGGTATTAGTGCACTATAAAGGGAATAGGGTATTAGTGCACTATAAAGGGAATAGGGTATTAGTGCACTATAAAGGGAATAGGGTATTAGTACACTATAAAGGGAATAGGGTATTAGTACACTATAAAGGCAATAGGGTATTAGTGCACTATAAAGGGAATGGGGTATTAGTGCACTATAAAGGGAATAGGGTATTAGTGCACTATAAAGGGAATAGGGTATTAGTGCACTATAAAGGGAATAGGGTATTAGTGCACTATAAAGGGAATAGGGTATTAGTGCACTATAAAGGGAATAGGGTATTAGTGCACTATAAAGGGAATAGGGTATTAGTGCACTATAAAGGGAATAGGGTATTAGTGCACTATAAAGGGAATAGGGTATTAGTGCACTATAAAGGGAATAGGGTGCCATTTAGGATGAAAACAATAGCTTGTTGAGAATGAGACCGAGCCCAAGGAGAACCTACTGTTGACACTAGTCAGAGAGGCAGGTGCTGAGGGCAGACCAGAGCTGTGCATGCTCACACCTGGAATGAGAACAAACAAGTATTGAATGTATGTCTGCCTGAACACAAGAAAAATCATGACATGGTTTCTAGACATAATACATGGCGTTGGACAATGCCAACACAGTTCACACAGCCAGACACTGTTGGCACTGTCAAAGCCAACAACAGACAACAGAAAGATGAGCACAGCATGTCTTATAGCAGCCAGGAAAAAGACAAGACCCTGACCTACGACATAAGCATGTCCCGTCTCTTCGATGGAGGAGGAGTCAGACTCTTTCTGGAAGCTCTTAAGGCTCCAGGCGGGGCTGCCGTGCGACGCTGAGGAGCCAAACCCTCTGTTGAGGAGAGAGAGAGAGACAGAGACAGAGAGAGAGAGAGACGGAGACAGAAAAAGGAAGGAGAAAGAACATTAACACCCTCTACAGAGTATGATATTTTTGTTATCATTCAATCTGGGGGGGGGGGGGGGGGGGGGGGGGGGGGGGTTAAACTGGTCTGGGACAGCCCAAACTACACCGCTGTATTAGAAGAGATAGAATAAAGTCCATATTCAGATGTAGTTAGCAATCCGGCTGGAAGCAAAAAACAAATCAAAAACAGAGACTGTGGCTGAATACATCAAACCCCTTCACTAATTAACATTATGTTAATATGAAGCCCGTTTTTCTGTTCTAGTTCATGGGCCTTTTAAAGTATGCAGAAGGCCGTTCCATTCCAAAAAGCCCCAAACTAAATCTGGTGGGAGGAAGAGATGAGGGAAGAGATACAACAAGACAGAGAGTACTGTCAACTCAGCACTGAACCAGGAGGAAGAGGTGAGGGAAGACAGAGAGTACTGTCAACTCAGCACTGAACCAGGAGGAAGAGGTGAGGGAAGACAGAGAGTACTGTCAACTCAGCACTGAACCAGGAGGAAGAGATGAGGGAAGACAGAGAGTACTGTCAACTCAGCACTGAACCAGGAGGAAGAGGTGAGGGAAGACAGAGAGTACTGTCAACTCAGCACTGAACCAGGAGGAAGAGGTGAGGGAAGACAGAGAGTACTGTCAACTCAGCACTGAACCAGGAGGAAGAGGTGAGGGAAGACAGAGAGTACTGTCAACTCAGCACTGAACCAGGAGGAAGAGATGAGGGAAGACAGAGAGTACTGTCAACTCAGCACTGAACCAGGAGGAAGAGATGAGGGAAGACAGAGAGTACTGTCAACTCAGCACTGAACCAGGAGGAAGAGATGAGGGAAGACAGAGAGTACTGTCAACTCAGCACTGAACCAGGAGGAAGAGGTGAGGGAAGACAGAGAGTACTGTCAACTCAGCACTGAACCAGGAGGAAGAGATGAGGGAAGACAGAGAGTACTGTCAACTCAGCACTGAACCAGGAGGAAGAGATGAGGGAAGACAGAGAGTACTGTCAACTCAGCACTGAACCAGGAGGAAGAGGTGAGGGAAGACAGAGAGTACTGTCAACTCAGCACTGAACCAGGAGGAAGAGGTGAGGGAAGACAGAGAGTACTGTCAACTCAGCACTGAACCAGGAGGAAGAGGTGAGGGAAGACAGAGAGTACTGTCAACTCAGCACTGAACCAGGAGGAAGAGATGAGGGAAGACAGAGAGTACTGTCAACTCAGCACTGAACCAGGAGGAAGAGATGAGGGAAGACAGAGAGTACTGTCAACTCAGCACTGAACCAGGAGGAAGAGATGAGGGAAGACAGAGAGTACTGTCAACTCAGCACTGAACCAGGAGGAAGAGATGAGGGAAGACAGAGAGTACTGTCAACTCAGCACTGAACCAGGAGGAAGAGGTGAGGGAAGACAGAGAGTACTGTCAACTCAGCACTGAACCAGGAGGAAGAGATGAGGGAAGACAGAGAGTACTGTCAACTCAGCACTGAACCAGGAGGAAGAGATGAGGGAAGACAGAGAGTACTGTCAACTCAGCACTGAACCAGGAGGAAGAGGTGAGGGAAGACAGAGAGTACTGTCAACTCAGCACTGAACCAGGAGGAAGAGATGAGGGAAGACAGAGAGTACTGTCAACTCAGCACTGAACCAGGAGGAAGAGGTGAGGGAAGACAGAGAGTACTGTCAACTCAGCACTGAACCAGGAGGAAGAGATGAGGGAAGACAGAGAGTACTGTCAACTCAGCACTGAACCAGGAGGAAGAGATGAGGGAAGACAGAGAGTACTGTCAACTCAGCACTGAACCAGGAGGAAGAGATGAGGGAAGACAGAGAGTACTGTCAACTCAGCACTGAACCAGGAGGAAGAGATGAGGGAAGACAGAGAGTACTGTCAACTCAGCACTGAACCAGGAGGAAGAGATGAGGGAAGACAGAGAGTACTGTCAACTCAGCACTGAACCAGGCAGGTTGGCAGGCAGACAGGCAGGCAGGCAGACAGGCAGGCAGGCAGGCAGGCAGGCCCTCCCCTCCCCTCCCCTAGAGGGCTAATTAAAGGCATGACTAGACAAAGACTAGAACACTCAGTGATCCACAGACAGAGGAATGAAGAGCCATTACACAGTAATGAGTCTGCTGTGGTGCTGAAGGTGGCAACCCCTGCCTTGCCCTGTTCTAAGATCCGCTCAGTCAGGACTACGAAGCACGTGACAAATCAAAATGTGATCATTTGATTAGACCCAAACATGCCATTTTCCTAAAATAAATGTTTTATCTTTATCGTAAAATATACAGTAATCCATCTTCCAAATCAATATCAGGGCTAGTTTTTTGGATCATCGGATGGTCCCTCCATTTACTAAAGAGGCTTAGGTGAGCACTTAGGGGCTAGGTGACTCACATGTCCTGCTGGTGAGCTACAGAGATGGAGTCTGTGTCCGAGCTGGCTCGGTGGTGGGAGTCCAGGAGCTGGGCGTGGTTCACAGCAGACTGGGACTGGCTGTTGAAGGGGACCGCACGGTGCTCTGGAGATTCAGGCACCTGGATAGAGCCATAAATGGATAGATAAATACTTGAATAGCAGTATCTGCTTGGATGGAACTTTATTAATTGTAACGTCATACAGCAGCAGACCAAAAACACGCACAACAAAAATAAAAAGACAAAGTCAGGAGCCATAAAAAGCGCCATAGACCTCCGTAACATAGCATGAATAAATAGCGTCATACCTGGCCCAGGTTGTGGTGTGATCTGCTCATCATTAGCCGGGCATTGGAGGGGTGGTGGTGGTGGTAGGGGCCGAGGACAGAGTTTAACCCAGGGAAGAGCACCTCCTCCTGGGCATGGAACCGGCTGCCAGGGGCCTTGTTCAGTGCCACCTGAGGTAACAATAAGCTTTTGCTATTGTTTTTTCACAAAAATGGATGCAATTAAAACTACACACCACAAAGGACATAGAGGACTGGGGATTGGGACCAGGGATTTCAAAAGATGTAAAACATCACTTACCTCTGAGTAGGAGATCCTCTTCAGGTCTGAGTCTGAGTGGGCGGAACGGGCTGAGGAGCTAGGAGTCAGGCTGGCAGAGCTCACTGCCCTCCCGATCCCCTCCACCCCCCCCTGGCCCAGAGAGTACTGCAGGAGGCTCAGTGGAGAGTTCTCTGTGGAACAGGGAGAAGTACCGGAGAGGACATTATGAGAAGACATTATCAGGGGGTCTTAAACCCAATTGACAAATCTTATACAATAATTAATATAACTGAAGTGTAAAAAATAAGGTCAAGTGTTAGTAAAATGACTGTCTCCAGCCCATAATTAGGTCTAATCAGAATCAGTTCAGGTTTTTTTCATTGTTTAAGATGATGTGACAAAGCTCATGTCGACATGCTGTCGTTATTTCACCATCTCCCTCTGTCTCACCCAAGTCCTGCAGCTCCTGGTTGTTCTGTCGGGCCTTCATCTGGAGGTGGAACTTGTGCTGAGCAGAGCAGAGGTGTAGCAGGTACTGACAGGTCTTGTTGCTGTCTGTCTGGAATAGGTGTTTGATCCCGTCTGATGTGTTCTGAAGACAGATCTTCTTCTTCTGCAGAGAAACAGCAGGATCAGAAAAGTGAGTGAGAGAAAAGGATAAAAGTGAGTGAGAGAAATGTTGAATAGCAGCAGAAAGCAGGGCATGATTTAAAATGCAGTGAGTGAGAGAAATACACCCGACAGAATAAACAGCATACAAATGAGTGAGAGAAAAATTACAAAGCAATGCAGAGTAACAGGGGACACTAAACTAGGACTAGGGAACCCATATTTCAAATCTAAGACTTCAGAGAGCCATGCACTTACTGTGAAAGAGATCTTCTTGGTTTCTCTCCAGGGGAACCTTAGTACCGGGGTTCTGTTTCCATTCAAGACCTCAAAGATGAGGACACCCTTGGAGAAGACCCCTAGCATGATACCTGTCTGGGACCGCTTCTCAGGGAGGACGCGGTGGAAGTGAACCCCGTACTCTGTCAGCCTCTGGCTCTCCTTCAGGAGAAAACACAGGATAAAAGGAGTTTAACTCAAGACAGGGATCGATCACAATCACAATCATCATCTTATCAGCAAAAAAAAGTTTCCACCCCCTTGATATTACAGCATCTTTATGTCATTTGACGTAGTAGCACAGTCACGCCATCTTGAAGCCTGGTCCCAGATCTGTTATCAAGTTGGCAAGACAGAACAAACAAATCTGGGACCATCTTGGCCCTTACCTTGAGGAACTCAAACTCAGTCTCTGTCTCTGTGGCTCCATAGTATGTGCTGTGTAGTTTCAGCAGTTCTTCCTTGATGGAGCTCTGGTCAATATTATCCAGCGCAGAGGCGGACATGTAATGTTCCAGTCTGAAGTACGTTTTTCCATGGAGCTAGAAGAAACAGATGGTATAATTGTAGCCCTCACATAGGGTTGGTCGGCTTCCTGGTTCCAGATTAGGCCTACTCCCGAACTAAAAGGCATGTTCAATGGAGAGTCTCAACTGAAAGCACTTTTTAGTCCAGGAATGGCTTAATATGGTCTTGGAAACCACCCCATTATGTAAATGTCGTAAACAATGTATAATAAACTATACTACTACTGTAGAGGGATAACTACCTCTGCCTGGTAGTCGCCAAACTCTGCCTGAAGAGCCAGAGATGCCAGGAGCATGGCATTCTCCATGTCACAGCACACCCTCTCCTCCAAGATATCCTTCCTCAGCTGCAAGTAGTACTGATGTTTTGTCATGGTGTGCCTGGAGTGGAGCACAGTATTGATACTTTATTCTGAAGTAGGCTATTGTTGTTTAACTAAGGGCTAGTTTCACTTCAGCTAAAGGCTCTGAGTAGCCTGGTCCCAGATCGGTTTGTGATGTATAGTCCTATTGGTTGTTGCCGTGCTTGGCACAGATCTGGGACCAGGGTCCATATTAATGGTTGTTGCCGTGCTTGGCACAGATCTGGGACCAGGGTCCATATTAATGGTTGTTGCCGTGTTTGGCACAGATCTGGGACCAGGGTCCATATTAATGGTTGTTGCCGTGCTTGGCACAGATCTGGGACCAGGGTCCATATTAATGGTTGTTGCCGTGCTTGGCAGATCTGGGACCAGGGTCCATATTAATGGTTGTTGCTGTGCTTGGCACAGATCTGGGACCAGGGTCCATATTAATGGTTGTTGCCGTGCTTGGCACAGATCTGGGACCAGGGTCCATATTAATGGTTGTTGCCGTGCTTGGCACAGATCTGGGACCAGGGTCCATATTTATGGTTGTTGCCGTGCTTGGCACAGATCTGGGACCAGGGTCCATATTTATGGTTGTTGCCGTGCTTGGCACAGATCTGGGACCAGGGTCCATATTAATGGTTGTTGCCGTGCTTAGCACAGATCTGGGACCAGGGTCCATATATTCATAAAGCATGTTAGAGTAGGAGTGCGGATCTAGGATATATAAATTTACCTCTGGAATTCATCCATATAAACGTATTCATTATGATCTAATATAATAATAATAAATCTGTCATTTATCAGACGCTTTTATCCAAAGCGACCTACAGTCATGCGTGCATACATTTTACATACGGGTGGTCCTGGGAATCGAACCAACTACCCTGGCATTACAACTGCCATGCTCTACCAACTGAGCTACAGAAGATAAAGGCAAAAGCGATCCTTGATCATCACTCATACTCTGAGAAGCTTTTTGAATATTCCCACGGTCTTACTGTATGAGGTTGACGTCATCCAGAAAGAACTTGATGCGTAGGAACAGGTTAAACTGGACGTCTGGTTTCTTCTTCTTGGGTTCTTCCTTCCACCCCTCAGGAGCAACTTTGGACAGCTTGGCATCGGGATCAACGAAGAAGAACTCATTGTCTAGATGAAGACACAGAGGGAGGTGAGGAGGGGGCGGGAGCAGAGAGAGGAGGGGGAGAGAGGAAGCATGGTAGAGGAGGAGAGAGGGAGAGGGAGGAGGGATGGAGGGAGGGAGGAGAGAAGGGAGGGAGGGAGAGGGAGGGGAGAGGGAGAGAGGGAGGAGAGAGGGAGGGAGGGAGGAGAGAGGGAGGAGAGAGGGAGGAAAGAGGGAGAGGAGAGAGGGAGGGAGGAGAGGGGGAGGGAGCAGAGAGAGGAGGGGGAGAGAGGGAAGCAGGTTAGAGGAGGAGAGAGGGAGAGGGAGGAGGGATGGAGGGAGGGAGGGAAAGAGGGAGAGGAGGGAGGGAGGGAGGGAGGAGAGACGGAGGGGAGAGGGAGGGAGGAGAGAGGGAGGAGGGATGGAGGGAGGGAGGGAGGGAGGGAGGGAGGGAGGGAGGGAGGGAGGGAGGGAGGGGAGGGAGGGAGGGAGGAGAGAGGGAGGGGAGAGGGAGAGAGGGAGGGAAGAGGGAGAGAGGGAGGGGAGAGGGAGAGAGGGAGGGAGGGAGGAGAGACGGAGGGGAGAGGGAGAGAGGGAGGGAGGGAGAGATAGAGTGATAACATATGAATAAATAAGCATGAGCTGGACCCTTGCACAGACACACTGAAAATAACTAAAGAAACTTGAAATCAACAAGTGTCTGGATTTTGGTTTATATGGGACAGCAGAAGAGTGCACACCCAGCAGGGGCGGATTGGTTATATGGCATTTCTGGCAAACACCAGATGGGCTGGACCATTTTATTGTTGGGTGGGCTGGTCGAAATTGACACACAAAAAAGAATAACAACAACAAATTCTCTGTTATAATAATGTATAATGATACTTTGGCTGATCAGTGGGCAACAGCCGCCCCCCTACCAAGATGGGCCGGCCCGGTCTTCTGATAGGCTGAGCTGAGGTCACACAAACTCACATTCAAAGTCAAACGCAGCATCAGCAAAGAGACCTGCTCCGACTCTCATCAGTTTGACAGCCAAGAAAATGGATGGTAAAAAAACGATAAGGGTGCCTATAAACGTAAAAAAAGGTCACCTCACTCAAAACTTGCTGTTTTTTGGGGGGGCTAAAAGCATAATTTCTTCAAACAGTAAAGTGCATTATCATCCATGATTCCTGTAATAAAAGTGTCTTCCCAGCCCCTGTGCTGTCGTCTGCTGCTGTGATGAGTGAGCCACTCTCCTCTCCCCGCATGCGCTCCAGAGAAAAATGCGTTCTGATCATATAACGTTTCAAAATGCAATTGTGGGAAAAGTTGGCGGCGCGCGCAGGGATGTGGCCTAGTGTGGTTAAAATGCCATGGCCGAATTCTTGTCCCAGTCTGCCCCTGACAACCAGACACACACACACACAGGATGAACCGTCTCCACCCATTCCGTACCTGTGAGGCAGGCAAGGCCAAAGAGGTGGTGTTCCACAAGTCCAACGTGAGCCACCACCATGTCCAACACGTCCTTACACACAGCCTTGATGTCACAGCTCAGCTCCAGCTTCTGGCCGTTCAGCAGAACCACCCCCACCTTCCTCTGGACCTCATCCAGCTTCCCACGCTTGTTCTGAGAGCGAGAGAAAGCGAGGGGTAATAGAGGGTGAGAGATGGGACATTGTACTGACCAGGAGAGGTCCATTACACTGTACTGACCAGGAGAGGTCCATTACACTGTACTGACCAGGAGAGGTCCATTACACTGTACTGACCAGGAGAGGTCCATTACACTGTACTGACCAGGAGAGATCCATTACACTGTACTGACCAGGAGAGGTCCATTACACTGTACTGACCAGGAGAGGTCCATTACACTGTACTGACCAGGAGAGATCCATTACATTACACTGTACTGACCAGGAGAGATCCATTACACTGTACTGACCAGGAGAGATCCATTACACTGTACTGACCAGGAGAGATCCATTACACTGTACTGACCAGGAGAGATCCATTACACTGTACTGACCAGGAGAGATCCATTACACTGTACTGACCAGGAGAGATCCATTACACTGTACTGACCAGGAGAGATCCATTACACTGTACTGACCAGGAGAGATCCATTACACTGTACTGACCAGGAGAGATCCATTACACTGTACTGACCAGGAGAGATCCATTACACTGTACTGACCAGGAGAGATCCATTACACTGTACTGACCAGGAGAGATCCATTACACTGTACTGACCAGGAGAGATCCATTACACTGTACTGACCAGGAGAGGTCCATTACACTGTACTGACCAGGAGAGGTCCATTACACTGTACTGACCAGGAGAGGTCCATTACACTGTACTGACCAGGAGAGATCCATTACACTGTACTGACCAGGAGAGATCCATTACACTGTACTGACCAGGAGAGATCCATTACACTGTACTGACCAGGAGAGATCCATTACACTGTACTGACCAGGAGAGATCCATTACACTGTACTGACCAGGAGAGATCCATTACACTGTACTGACCAGGAGAGATCCATTACACTGTACTGACCAGGAGAGATCCATTACACTGTACTGACCAGGAGAGATCCATTACACTGTACTGACCAGGAGAGATCCATTACACTGTACTGACCAGGAGAGATCCATTACACTGTACTGACCAGGAGAGATCCATTACACTGTACTGACCAGGAGAGATCCATTACACTGTACTGACCAGGAGAGTTCCATTACACTGTACTGACCAGGAGAGATCCATTACACTGTACTGACCAGGAGAGATCCATTACACTGTACTGACCAGGAGAGATCCATTACACTGTACTGACCAGGAGAGATCCATTACACTGTACTGACCAGGAGAGATCCATTACACTGTACTGACCAGGAGAGATCCATTACACTGTACTGACCAGGAGAGATCCATTACACTGTACTGACCAGGAGAGATCCATTACATTGTACTGACCACCAGACCTGGGATCTCTCCTCTCCAGAGCGGGGTTAAAATAGGATGTGGTGGGTTTTTTTTTTTTATAGTTTGAGAGAGTTTGATTGAGCATGCCTGGAGCTGCTAGGTGAGCAGGGTTTCATTGGTTCCATTGCAGCCAGGCCAGCTCAATCAAGCAGAGCTAAAGGATTGAAATGAAAGCTTTCTGTTTGAACCCAGGGCTAGAGGAGAACAAGGCTTTCTGTTTGAACCCAGGGCTAGAGGAGAACAAGGCTTTCTGTTTGAACCCAGGGCTAGAGGAGAACAAGGCTTTCTGTTTGAACCCAGGGCTAGAGGAGAACAAGGCTGCATTCCGCTACACTGACATAACCCTCACTCCCACAACCACCGGCTCCACTAGTATCCTGCGCCAAACGTCTCGAGGAGTCTTACCATTATTGAAGAGGGAACAGTTAAGGCAACACATGGCTCGCTGGTCATCTTCACAAATTCAGGACCAAAGAAATTCTGCAATGGGGAAGAGAGACAGAGTAGGAAGAGGTTACGCACACAGACTGCGCCATGTCGTGGTGTACAATGTTAGGCCTACTTGTACTCCCATCAACAACAACAACAACAACAAAAATCATACAACAGCCGTTTCACAAAGAGACAGCATTGGTCTAGATCTAGTCCTGAGATGTAGGTAGGCTACCATTAGGTTTGTCATGCGGTAGCTACCCTTAGGTTTGTCATGCGGTAGGCTACCTTAGGCTTGCGGTGGTGTGGTAGCGTTGCATTGAGAGGGTCCCGGAGATCCAGCATGGAGGTGCGTGCCAGGGCCAGGGCCAAGGCCAGGGGCTCATCCCCGGGGTAGAGGCTGGCTCGGGGGTCGTCCCCTGGGTAGAGGGATGCCCTGGACAGCCTGTTAGCCTGGAGCCTCTGAACCTCATCCTCCCGTCTCTGGAGCATCAGACCCTCGTCTGCTGCACCCTCATACCGCCTGGGGGGGGGGGGGGGGGGGGGGGGGGAAACGGATAGAAATTTAAAACTGACACGATTGATTCCCTACTATACATTACAGACATTCATATCTGTGTGCAGCCCCTTCCTACAGCCTGCATGGGGAGGACATAGAAATAAGATGCATAGAACTGCCATGATTCCTTACTCTACATGACCTAGACAAGCACATACACAGAGTGTACAAAACATTAAGAACACCTTCCTAATATTGAGTTGCCCTCAGAATATGCTCGTTTTTTCGTCAGGGCATGGACTCTACAAGGTGTCGAAAAGCGTTCCACAGGGATGCTGGCCCATGTTGACTCCAATCTTACAGTTAGTGTCAAGTTGGCTGGATGTCCTTTCGGTGGTGGACCATTCTTGATACACACAGGAAACTGTTGAGCATGAAAAACACAGCAGCGTTGCAGTTCTTGACACAAACCGGTGCGCCTGGCACCTGCTACCATACCCCGTTCAAAGGCACTTAAATATTTTGTCTTGCCCATTCACCCTCTGAATGACACATGTACAATATATGTCTCAATTGTCTCAAGGCTTAAAAATCCTTATTTAACCTGTCTCCTCCCCTTCATCTACACTGATTGAAGTGGATTTAACAAGTGACATCAATAAGGGATCATAGCTTTCACCTGGTGTTCCCCGGGTGCCGAAGACGTGGATGTGGATTAAGGCAGCCCTCCGCACCTCTGATTCAGAGGGGTTGGGTTAAATGCGGAAAATCTAAAGTGCTATGTTCATACAGTGCATTCGGAAAGTATTCAGACCCCTTCTCCACATTTTGTGGCGTTACAGCCTTATTCTAAAATGTATTAAATTAATTGGGTTTTCCCGCATCAATCGACACACAATACCTCATAATGATAAAGCAAAAACAGGTTTTTAGAATAAAAATAAATAAACCAGAAATACCTTATTTACATAAGTATTCAGACCCTTTGCTATGAGACTCGAAATTGAGCTCAGGTGCATCCTGTTTCCGTTGATCATCATTTAGCTGTTTCTACAACTTAATTGGAGTCCACCTGTGGTAAATTAAAATGATTGGAGATTATTTGGAAAGGCACACACCTGTCTATATAAGCTCCTACAGTTGACAGTGCATGTCAGAGAAAAAAACCAAGCCACGAGGTCGAAGGAATTGTCCGTAGAGCTCCGAGACAGGATTGTGTCGAGGCACAGATCTGGGGAAGGGTACCCAAACATTTCTGCAGCATTGAAAGTCTCCAAGAACACAGTGGCCTCTATCATTCTTAAATGGAAGAAGTTTGGAACCACCAAGACTCTTCTTAGAGCTGGCCGCCCAGCCAAACTGAGTAATCGGGGGAGAAGGGCCTTGGTCATTCTCGACAGAGCTCCAGAGTTCCTCTGTGGAGATGGGAGACCCGTCCAGAAGGACAACCATCTTTGCAGCACTTCACCAGTTAGGCCTTTATGGTAGAGTGGCCAGACGGAAGGCACTCCTCAGAAAAAAGCACATGACTGCCCGCTTGGAGTTTGGCAAAGGGCACCTAAAGGACTCCCAGACCATGAGAAATAAGATTCTCTGGTCGGATGAAACCAAGATGGAACACTTTGGCCTGAATGCCAAGCGTCACATCTGGAGGAAACCTGGCACCATCCCTATGGTGAAGCATGGTGGTGGCAACATCATACTGTGGGTATGTTTTTCAGCAGCAGGGACTAGGAGACTAGTCAGGATCGAGAGAAAGATGAACGGAGCAAAGTACAGAGAGATCCTTGATGAAAACCTGCTCCAGAGCACTCAGGACCACAGACTGGGGTGAAGGTTCACCTTCCAACAGGACAACGACCCTAGGCACACAGCCAAGGTAACGCAGGAGTGGCTTCGGGACAAGTTTTTGAATGTCCTTGAGTGGGCCCAGCCAGAGCCCAGACTTGAACCCGATCGAACATCTCTGGAGACCTGAAAATAGCTGTGCAGCGACACTCCCCATCCAACCTGACAGAGCTTGAGAGGATCTGCAGAGAAAAATGGGAGAAACTCACCAAATACAGGTGTGCCAAGCTTGTAGCGTCATACCCAAGAAGACTCGAGGCTGTAATCGCTGCCAAAGGTGCTTCAACAAAGTACTGAGTAAAGGGTCTGAATACTTCTGTAAACGTTTTTAATTTTTTACATAAAAAAAATAACTTTTGCTTTGACATTATGGGGTATTGTGTGTAGAATCATGAGAAAAAATAACTATTTAATCAATTTTATAATAAGGCTGTAATGTAACAAAAAATCTGGAAAAAGTCAAGGGGTCTGAATACTTTCTGAATGCACTGTATCACTAAAATCTAAAGCGCCAGAACATATCAGTACAAACTAAAAAGGCATGAGGACAGAGGATCATTGCTCTGCCATGATTTCCTTTTAGCATAAATGTCACGACTGGTTTGGGCTGGTATTAGTACACACACACACAGTGTGATGCCAAAGATTAGAGTGAGATCAGTGCTGGATGGGGTTTTCACATCAGTGCACAGGCATGTGACCCGACCCAGCTGTTTGGTGAGTGTGTGTCAATCCCCTCTGTGGTCCTGTGCCCAAACTGTCTGTCTGCACACAGGATCAATTATGAAATCATACTGGCACTGATTAACCTACCACCCCACACTACAGCCTGCAGCCGATTGATGTTACCATGACCACACACACACACACACACACACACACACACACACACACACACACACACACACACACACACACACACACACACACACACACACTACTATGGCCCACTACTAGTAGGAGTCCCCAATGGCACCACATTCCCTATATAGTGCACTACTTTTGACCAGGGCACTATTTAGGGAAAAGTGTGCTATTTCTGAGACACCCCTAGACTAGAACATAGAGCCAGCTTATACATTAACTTAGCCAGCAGGGGGTGAAGTAGGGCCACAGATTAAACATCGTACAGCTAACAGGCAAGGCTGCTTCAGGAAGTTAAAAAAACAAACAAAAAAAACATTACCCTTCAGGAACAGTAATAACTGAAAACGTGACAGGATGATTTACCTTCTATGATTCCTGATAAATAACTCAACTCGGACTGACTTCCAAGTAGAGGGACGTGTTTCCATACCTCAACTACGACACACCTCTCCGTTTTCCCAGTCGTGAGCGGCATGAGAACAGCGGAGATCCTTTAGCTGAACATTAACAGGTGTCTATCCTGGGCCAGGGTATATAAACTACATGATCAAAAGTATGTGGACACCTGCTCGTCAAACATCTTATTCCAAAATCACTGCCATTACTATGGAGTCGGTCCCCCCTTTGCTGCTACAACAGCCTCCACTCTTCTGGGAAGGCTTTCCACTAGATGTTGGAACATTGCTGCGGGGACTTGCTTCCATTCAGCCACAAGAGCATTAGTGAGGTCAGACACTGATGTTGGCCGATTAGGCCTGGCTCGCAGTCGGCGTTCCAATTCATCCCAAAGGTGTTCGATGGGGTTGAGGTCAGGGCTCTGTGCAGGCCAGTCAAGTTCTTCCACACAGATAGACAAACCATTTCTGTATGGACCTCGATTTGTGCACGGGGGCATTGTCATGCTGAAACAGGAAAGGGCCTTCCCCAAACTGTTGCCACAATTTGGAAGCATAGAATCGTCTAGAATGTCATTGTATGCTGTAGCGTTAAGATTTCCCTTCACTGGAACTAGCCCGAACCATGAAAAACAGCCCCAGACCATTATTCCTCCTCAACCAAACTTTACAGTTGGCACTATGCATTGGGGCAGGTAGCGTTTCTACTGGCATCCGCCAAACTCAAGATTCCTCCGTCGGACTGCCAGATGGTGAAGCATGATTCATCACTCCAGAGAACGCGTTTCGACTACTCCAGAGTCCAATGGCGGCGAGCTTTACACCACTCCAGCCGACGCCTGGCATTGCGCATAGTGATCTTAGGCTTGTGTGCGGCTGCTCGGCCATGGAAACACATTTCATGAAGCTTCCGACGAACAGTACTTGTGCTGGCGTTGCTTCCAGAGGCAATTTGGAACTCGGTAGTCAGTGTTGCATCAGAGAACAGACGATTTTAATGCGCTACGCGCTTCAGCATTCGGCGGGCCTGTTCTGTGAGCTTGTGTGGCCTACCATTTCGCAGCCTAGCCGTTGTTGCTTCTAGATGTATTCACTTCACAATAACAGCACTTACAGTTGACCGGGGCAGCTCTAGCAGGGCAGAAATGTGATTAACGGACTTGTTGGAAAGGTGGCATCCTATGACGGTGCCACGTTGAAAGTCACTGAGCTCTTCAGTAAGGCCATTCTACAGCCAATGTTTGTCTATGGAGATTGCATGGCGGTGTGCTCAATTTTATACACCCGTCAGCAACGGGTGTGGCTGAAATAGCCAAATCCACTCATTTGAACAGGTAATCACATACTTTTGGTGTACACACACACACACGTTGCTATTGCAGGACTCAGACTTTTGGCTTGACTGGACACTAGGAATGTGAGAGGGGAGAAAGTCACAGAGAGAGCGCTCAGGTGAAAGGTTGTTTTCATTAAGGCACACCATAGCGCAACTTTTTTTTAAACATTGTGTAATGAAAAATGAAAAAAGGAGCCTTTGCTATAGGACAAGTTCAGATAGTGCCTCCCTGTTTCGGACTGTTTTCTTCCACTGCGTATCTTAATGAACAAGGCCCAGGTGAATCTTTTACTGGGAACGGACATGCCTCCATCTCAAGTGTAATTGTTAACAGGGACGTACCTGTGCCTGTGCGTGTTGTGGCTGGTGAGAGACGCGCCGTGATGGTCTGAGAGAGCCAACTGGGAGCTGTAGCGTCTCACTTCCTCTGTTTTCTTAGCTGAAACAGAAGAAAGAAAGATGTAAAAGATCCATCACATGATCAACAGCAGGCTCCAGCGGGCAGCAGAATCAGAGGGAGTTGGCCGAGTAGTGATGGTGAAACCAGAACAGAGCCAGGAGTATCACACATTCAAAGAACTAGGCTACGGGTGAGCGTTTTCCAAAAGATCTAACAGTTCAAATCAAATCAAATGTTATTTGTCACATACACGTGTTTAGCAGATGTTATAGCGGGTGTAGCGAAATGCTTGTGCTTCTAGCTCCGACAGTGCAGTAATATCTAACAAGTAATATCTAACAATATCTATCAGTTGCTCAAGATCCTACGGTGAGCGTTTTCGAAAGACCTAACAGTTGCTCAAGATGACAGCAGCTTTGTGTGTCAGTGAGGTTTCTGGTGCTGCAGTTAAGCTGTTTATAATTTCGTTTCCAAGATGAGGGGGACGTGAAGTGCATAGTCAGCTCTGGCTTTAAGATCCAGGACTCATAATAAATCTACATTCAACGGCACATGTTCCTCTTTTGCTGTGGAATTTGAAACACCTTGTGCGTAACAAACATGTAATTTTGTATTTTAAAGTTAAAAGGACTGGCTTGAATGATATGAATATGAATGAAATTAGCCCACCCAACTACCTCATCCCCATATTGTTATTTATTTTGCTCATTTACACCCCAGTATCTCTATTTGCACATCATCTCTTGCACATCTATCATTCCAGTGTTAATACTAATTGTAATTATTTTGCACTATGGCCTATTTATTGCCTTACCTCCATAACTTGCTACATTTGCACACACTGTATATATATTTTCTGTTTGTATTTTTGACTTTATGTTTTGTTTTACCCCATATGTAACTCTGTGTTGTTGTTGTTGTTTTTAAATCGCACTGCTTTGCTTTTATCTTGGCCAGGTCGCAGTTGTAAATGAGAACTTGTTCTCAACTGGCTTACCTGGTTAAATAAAGGTGAAATAAAAAATAAAAAATAAATGCTACCTTGTCTGTAGTCTGTGTCAGAAGAAGCTACAGAGGGGCTCTCACTGGACGAGCTGTAGTCACTGTGGTACCTCCGGTGGGAGTGCAGAGGATCTGAAAGACAGAAATATTAAAATCAGAGTTATTATATTGTATCTCTATGGTCTGAAAGACAGACATTTTTTTTTTACTCAGACAGTAGAGAAGCTGCAGTGCGTCAAATAGACGAAGTGTACAAAACATTAGGAACACCTGCTCTTTCCATGACAGACTGACCAGGTGAAAGTTATGATCCCTTATTGATGTCACCTGTTAGATTCACTTCAAATCAGTGTAGATGAAGGGGAGGAGACAGGTTAAAGAAGGATTTTTTTTTAGCCTTGAGACATGGATTGTGTATGTGTGGCATTCAGAGGATGAATGGGCAAGACAAAATATTTAAATGCCTTTGAACGGGGTATGGTAGTAGGTGCCAGGCACACCGGTTTGAGTGTGTCAAGAACTGCAACGCTGCTGGGTTTTTCATGCTCAACAGTTTGCCGTGTGTATCAAGAATGGTCCACCACCCAAAGGACATCCAGCCAATTTGACACAACTGTGGGAAGCATTGGAGTCAACATGCTTCCCTGTAGAATGTTTTAAGACAACTTGTAGAGTCCATGCCCTGATGAATTGAGGCTGTTGTGAGGGCAAAATGGGGTGCAACTCAATATTAAGGATGTGTTCCTAATGTTTTGTACACTCAGTATATTTTCAAGAGAACGGTCACTGCATCATAGTCCCGTTTTGCTCTCACAGCTCAAACACATCCAGGACACAGCATCACTGTGGGCGATGGATATAAAAATCATGCAAAGTATGTTTTTCATTTTGGACACAGGAAAAACTAGTTTGATCCATGATGCCATATTTCATGTCCCGACCAAATACATTTAAATAAATTCATTTTAAGAGGATTTGACTGGTTAGCAGTGCCGGAGTTCTAACTCAGGGGAAATCGAGTCCAGACATTGCAGTGGGTGAGACTGAGGAGGTGTCATAAATGGTACCCTAATACCGTAGGGTTCTGGTCTAAAGTAGTGCACTATAGAGGGAATAGGGTTCTGGTCTAAAGTAGTGCATTATAGAGGGAATAGGGTGCCATTTGGGATCGCAGCCTGCGAGCTCAGAGCAGCGGTCCCTTTCCAACTGCCGGGGGAATTCGATTCTCCCAAATCGTTCTTGAACTGAACTTGAACAAACACATTAACCTGTTGAAAACTACAGTAAGATATACAAATAACTCATGCCAGGAAAGTAAACATACATGGAGAGCTGTCACGAAAAGTCCATATAATCAAATAGAAAATATTATAAATAAAGGTGAAGCCAGCTAGCTTGACGCTGCAAAATGCTGTGAATCTTCCTCTCTAGTCTAACAGCCTCGGGCAGGGATATAGGCTAGCTGAGTGAGAGGAGAGATGACTAGATGGATTAGAGGAAGGGCTGGCTGAGTGAGAGGAGAGATGACTAGATGGATTAGAGGAAGGGCTGGCTGAGTGTGAGGAGAGATGACTAGATGGATTAGAGGAAGGGCTGGCTGAGTGAGAGGAGAGATGACTAGATGGATTAGAGGAAGGGCTGGCTGAGTGAGAGGAGAGATGACTAGATGGATTAGAGGAAGGGCTGGCTGAGTGTGAGGAGAGATGACTAGATGGATTAGAGGAAGGGCTGGCTGAGTGAGAGGAGAGATGACTAGATGGATTAGAGGAAGGGCTGGCTGAGTGAGAGGAGAGATGACTAGATTAATCATGAAGCAGAGGTTCAGGCACGGCTGAATGACTGTGTGAGAGTTGACTGGATAGAGAAGCACTTTGGTTGGAAACTCCTGATGCCACGTTTCCCTCTCTGACCTGTCCTACTCATCACCATGACACTCTTGGCACCACACATGAGGGGTATCCTACGAAGTAAGCTAGATACTGCTTTTTGCCTTCTGCGCCAACTCTAGCAGGCTTGTAACTGCGCGTGCATGTTGCACATAGCTTGTTGAACGCAAAACTCTTCATTGAGACAATGCTAAAACATCAATCCATGGGCAAGTCAGTGCCATATTTGATTACTTATCGTGAATGTCGTCTTTGGTGTGCTTATCAATGCACAACCACAAGTTTAAAATTCATTCTGTCATTCCAAAATGCGTAATGTGATATATTTTAACATGACTAATTTTTAACACAAATAAACATTTGATGAATAAAAAGATTTAACCTCTGTGTGGTAATACTACAAAGCAAGTTCAATGAGTTAGACATCGAACTTTGATAAACAACCTGAAATAACCATTGATTTTCTGATTGACTGAAGCTAAACTTAGATATATTAGTCATTTGAGAATATTTAGGCAAGTTAGATAGCAAACTCATTGAACCTGCTTTGTAGTATACCTCTGTACTGTGGGAAAACCCATGACGTCGGTCCAACATACCTTCAAGTGTATGTTGGACACCGGAAAATCCTGCTCGGAGTATCACTCCATGCTACTGTAGAAATGTTTAATACGCAACATTCTTCAGAGATTGCTCATGTAGGCCAGGAGTTAAAAATACGCTTCTCAGTACAGTAGTTTGCCGGCCTAGTCGGTGTCGTATGTAAACAAAGACCAGAGCAGAATGGTAAGACACTTTGAAGACACTTAAAGCAACAGGGATAACGATAATGGTTCAGATATTTTGTGAAACATCACAGTACAGTTGAAAAACATATTGGCAAATAGAAATCCAATATGGATGGTGTTAAGAGATAGATGGGAGGTGTTGAATGGAGCTAAAGGATGGGACTAATAACAACTAACAACAACAAGATAACTAATGTAAAGCATACTGTGTCCATAATAGGTATATAGGTTATAGGTTGAGAGGTTTTGTGAAAGAGCACAGTTAGAAAGATATGGCATATAGAAGCAAACTGGATGGACATCATGAAGATGATCGGCGAGGTTGAGAGTAGATGAAGTTCAGGAGTAAAAACAAACAAAATATAATTATTGTAAAATTGACTGTGTCCATAAAATGTATATAGTATGTATAAACTGGAAGTAGAGGCCTAAGCATTGTTGTTCACTAGTTTACTCCAATTAGGGAAGGGGTGGTGGGGTTGGAAAGTAATAATGGGAGAGTACGAGCCTGCCTTACACAGGAAGCGGCACAGGTCCTAATCCAGGCACTTGTCATCTCCCGTCTGGAATACTGCAACTCGCTGTTGGCTGGGCTCCCTGCCTGTGCCATTAAACCCCTACAACTCATCCAGAATGCCGCAGCCCGTCTGGTGTTCAACCTTCCCAAGTTCTCTCACGTCACCCCGCTCCTCCGCACACTCCACTGGCTTCCAGTTGAAGCTCGCATCTGTTACAAGACCATGGTGCTTGCCTACGGAGCTGTGAGGGGAACGGCACCTCCGTACCTTCAGGCTCTGATCAGTCCCTACACCCAAACGAGGGCATTGCGTTCATCCACCTCTGGCCTGCTGGCTCCCCTACCTCTGCGGAAGCATAGTTCCCGCTCAGCCCAGTCAAAACTGTTCGCTGCTCTGGCACCCCAATGGTGGAACAAGCTCCCTCACGACGCCAGGACAGCGGAGTCACTCACCACCTTCCGGAGACATTTGAAACCCCACCTCTTTAAGGAATACCTGGGATAGGATAAAGTAATCCTTCTACCCCCCCCCCCCCAAAAATAATAATAAAAAAAAAAATGGTAAAGTGGTTATCCCACTGGCTATAGGGTGAATGCACCGATTTGTAAGTCGCTCTGGATAAGAGCGTCTGCTAAATGACGTAAATGTAAATATATTATAAAAAAAGGATATGTATACATACATATATAAACACACATATATATATACATATATATATATATATATATATATATATATATATATATATATATATATATATATATATATATATATATATATATATATATATATATATATATATATATATATATATACATACACACACACACACACACACACATTTATTTGCAAGAAAAAAAGAAATATGGGGGATTGGAAGTGATGCAGACAATTACACTGATGGAAGTTACAATCTAACTGCAATATTAAAGTAGTAGGCCTCGGTGGAACGGTTCACCTGTTGACTATAAATAGTTCCTCAGATCCTTCCACTGTGACACCTGTTGACTATAAATAGTTCCTCAGATCCTTCCACTGTGACTCCAGATCTCCGTGAGAGAATAAAGCGGGGCTTCACAACACGGTCAACAATGTCATGGGCTGATTCACCCATGACACTGATTTAAGTACGTCTGTCCCAATGGGGATAAAGATGATGAAGTATGTAAAGGTAGTAAATACATCTGATATGAACTGTGAAGACCTTACTAAATGCCATAGGGCTGGACCAAGTGGTGCTGGTTTTTTTGTACGCCTACATCCAATCAAATGATTCAAGGGACAAAAAAATATTGAAATAATCTCCCTTTCATGGACACAATTGTAAGCTAAATATATGTTCTCAGCATGTGTGCGTACGTACATACATACATACATTTCCGACAGCATAGGTATTTAAAATGGAGATCCTGTCATTCTGCCCACCACCAGCAGCTCTGAGGCCATAGCCTAGTGAATGATGCCCTGACTGAGCCAAATCACTCATGAGATAGAGGAAACGTACAATCAAAACACGTGTCTGTGTTTCAGGCTGGTTTAGTCTAAAGCAGTACCAACATGTCTGAAACCATCCTGTTTAGTTAACACGTCTACAGCAGTACCAACATGTCTGAAACCATCCTGTTTAGTTTAGTTAACACGTCTACAGCAGTACCAACATGTCTGAAACCATCCTGTTTAGTTAACACGTCTATAGCAGTACCAACATGTCTGAAACCATCCTGTTTAGTTTAGTGAACACGTCTACAGCAGTACCAACATGTCTGAAACCATCCTGTTTAGTTAACACGTCTACAGCAGTACCAACATGTCTGAAACCATCCTGTTTAGTTAACACGTCTACAGCAGTACCAACATGTCTGAAACCATCCTGTTTAGTTAACACGTCTACAGCAGTACCAACATGTCTGAAACCATCCTGTTTAGTTAACACGTCTA